GCACAAAGAGCATATACACATGATGGCACAAAGAGCATATATACATGATGGCACAAAGAGCATATACACATGATGGCACAAAGAGCATATATACATGATGGCACAAAGAGCATATACACATGATGGCACATACATGATGGCACAAAGAGCATATATACATGATGACACAAAGAGCATATACATGATGGCACAAAGAGCATATACACATGACATGATGGCACACAAGATGGCACAAAGAGCATACACATGATGGCACAAAGAGCATATACACATGATGGCACAAAGAGCATATATACATGATGACACAAAGAGCATATATACATGATGACACAAAGAGCATATATACATGATGACACAAAGAGCATATACACATGATGGCACAAAGAGCATATATACATGATGGCACAAAGAGCATATATACATGATGACACAAAGAGCATATACATGATGGCACAAAGAGCATATACACATGATGGCACAAAGAGCATATACACATGATGGCACAAAGAGCATATATACATGACACAAAGAGCATATATACATGATGACACAAAGAGCATATATACATGATGACACAAAGAGCATATACACATGATGCCACAAAGAGCATATACAGTAAAGATGTACAATAAAGATGACATCATGGACATATACACACATATATACTTAAAACAATAATAAGTACCAAATCCTATGCAAACATGCTGAATCTGCTTCAAGGACACACCCTATAGCTAGGTCCTGCACCTCAACATTGTATCATAATACACATCTTATATGCATGACATCACTATCATCATGTCATTTAAAATTTCTGACTGCTTTTAACATTTGATTCACATTTTCGCGTCCCAAATTCTCAAGTATGTGGTATCTCACATGATATCAAAGTTAATATTTATGCAAAAATTATCTGTACAGAGCAAAACCTTTGACCTATGAGCAACTGGAGATTATGTGACCTGAATGAGCTAGTTTAGTTATATCAGCATTAATTTATGAGGAACATGTAATCTATTATTCCAAGGTCTTAATACATTGTTCTTGTTATTACCCTAATAGACGGTTTCTTTTGTGACATAAAAAATGTTGTTGTTTTTATCTTGCTGGGACATTAGGGAGATTGGTAGTTTTGTTGGAACCACACCATTTGTAATTGTTTTTGGCATCCAGAAATATTTATGTCACCATCTTCAATAATTGATATTGACAGTAGCAGATGACCTTGCCCAGATGAACATAACCATGCCATCTGTTGTGTAGATTCCGATGGATGTCAGTCAATATGTCAGTTACAGAACTGTCAATATTTTGTACCTGATGGAATCATTGGGTTGATTGGTTAGTTGTTTAACGCCAGATAATTCCAGATGGGTGTAAATACAATCGTGACAATTAGCATAGCGCAAAACTATAATACCCAGTCAGACTCACAGAAAACAATTTCGCAAATAACTCTGCCCCTTTGGCCTGATATGCTATTCAAAAGAAAAAGATAGAACACCTAAATGCTTGATAGATTTCTTGTTAGTCTGTCATAACATAACATGTAAAAATTGTATGTTCTGTAACCTTTTTAATTGTATACTTAACAAATACAAAGTTTGGCGAAAGATGTTACCTGTTGCTATAGTTACATAAATCAGATGACCAAAATCGTTGTTTAGTATCCTATACATGTTAACATTCCATTGTATGTATCAATATCTTTTAGCAATGACAGAATGTGTAGTTCATCGAGCCAATAACACATCAGTAATGTGGCATTCATTTTTCTGTTAGTATCATAACACAGTGTGTTAGTATTACCTGGCCGTAAACGGCTTCTTTCCCACCTGCCCTTTAAACAGAATCCATAACTGTAACTTGATGAATATATATGAACCATCTGGAACAGGAGTACTAGAAAGCAGAGAAAGAGCTCTCAACATGAAGAGTAATAAAATAGATAGGGTAGAGGGGAAGGTATTAGTAAGTCAATGAAGGTCTCTTGTGGAGAAATGATAGCCAAAAGTTATTTCTATTTAATGTTTTGGGTGACTTGATGTGGTTTGGAATCAAATCAAACATTTGATACTGATATGTTCAGGACTGTTATTTAGCCTGATCCGTGTTCATTATGAGATGCACATAATGAAAATGTGTAAAGGAAAATGGGCATAGGTCCTGTGAGCAGTATTTAATGATGAAATAAAATACCTGGCTTAAATGGCATATTTTGTTTTGTAAAAGTTAAATCCTGAATTACTTAATCGTAGATATTCAATGTAAATGTTAAAGGTCACATGCAACCAAAAAATCAAACATAATTAAAACACAATTATCACTTATTCATGACATATAATATACATTGCTGGTTATGAAAAAACATATAAACAAAATTATAAGCGTACAATCGCAAATCAAAAGTGCAATATTGTGTACTTCGGTTTACTTCCCAAGAAACGAAGCAGCCGGGATACCGAACCCAGTCAGAGCCTGTCTTATTATTGTGTATATGTGTAATGTACATAATGTGACAGAGACCAAAACTCATGTGGCCATAAATCAATGCATTTTGTTTATGGTGTATAGCCTGATTGGTGTTAAGTTCAAATTGCATGTGGTCAGTGAGCTGTGTATTGAATATTGTCATTAGCAGACAGGCAGGCAGACACACAGGTGTCAATAAAACAAGACATTGAGTTTTGTCTGTGACAACGACATATCTATATCACAGTTAGAAATTCTGTCAACGCTAAATAATGACATTGCTTTTAAGTATCGAACTGAGAAAGTGACTCGGTAAGAAGAACGTGTGGTGAAATTATATAAACATTTAATTTACTGTCATAACATATAAAAAGCTCGCGCCTGTGAGATATCAACAAAACATTAGAAAAATAGCTCACACCAAAGCCTTCACCGAGTATTCACCCGACAACCAGCTTTCAAGCTGCGCAAACCTATTTCACTGCGCACGTGCTATGAGCCCAGGCCAGCTGTTGAAACCCGTTTTCCCCAGAAAAGTCTGGGGAAAATTAGTGAAACGTTTGAACTCCGATTTCGCGCGGTTTTTTTCATCGCGTTATTTTTCAACTTTATAAGTTGAATTTGCATTTTTGACGATTTGTTTCGGTTAGTCCATACCAAAAGGTATCAGAATCTGCAAAGTTGTGTTTTACGTTGCATGTGACCTTTAATTGGAAGGACTGTCTGACTGACTGACTGACTGACACACTCACTCACTCACTCATAGATATTTAATGTAAATTGTAATTGTCACCTTCAAAAACAAAATGTCGTGTTTGATCATTATGGCAGTGTATGAAATAAGGCCCGTCTGACCGCCTGAGACGGGCTAGATTTCTGACGGACGGTCTAAATTTACAGCTAGCCAGCCCGATGATCTGGTTAAATTTTTTTAGATGTTCCATTCATCTGGGATAATTCCCCAGATCTGGTCTGGTTAAATCCTTTTTGGGCTGGTAACATTTTGAAGTTACCAGCCCTGATGTCTGGCTGGGTTTTTGGCTCATTTCATACACTCATTATGGTAGTGTATACTTTCCACTCATGTACAGTCTCTTAGGTGGAAATTTCAACACTTGCATGCAAAGCCTAACAAACTAGACTGTATTTCAACACATGATGAACTAAGTATGCTAGGCACACAGATGTAAGACAACATCTATGTATTTATGTCTCGTGTAATGTTTGTTTGCTGTCCTCTGTGCAGATCACGTGTTGGTACCGGATGACATTGACATGTTTAGGAGAAATAGATCTCTGATGATTAACCATGTAAACTGCTTTATACCCAGGTCTGCTATACAGATGGTCTGCTAGGACTAATCTGCCTAATTTGGACTAATCTGTCTAATTTAGAGAATTGCAACAGTTTGACCAAACTTAGCCTTGCTCCAAGGCTGTACTGAAGGCTAAGCCCATGGATGTATAGTAATTCTATCCTTTAAAGAGCCAAGTCAAGATAAGCAGACAGTTCTAAGGATGCCAGTTTGTTACAGGGATATATTTTTCTTTTTAGAAATTATCATTTATATTATTAATTATTACCTTGAAGACTTGTGCAAGTCTAGACCAAACTGTCTGGTCAGTTTTAGCAGTGGTCCATTGTGACTTGTATCCTTTCCAGACATGCAGTGCTGTCTACTAACATTTTCACAGTCATGATCCCAGATAGCATTCAGACGTTGGCCCAACATTGGCAATGGTTTTGCCAACATTGCCAACGTTGGGCCAACATCCGAATGCTATCTGGGATGCTGATTAAAGACGTATGTAGGATATTTTTGATGGGTACAAATCTTCATTCATAGATAACAGATTCTTTTTGTGCCATTGACAATTTCATAGCTATGAAGTGAAGTGAACTTGACAAGTCTAACCATAAGCAAGTCTATGAGGTATGGTTGAGTATTTACCACATCTTTCCATTGTTGGACACATTAGTGATTGACATTATGAGCATTATGAACACTTCCCACATTATGCTGATGTGATCAGGTAATAGTAACAAACCTTGACCACCCATTTGTGAGGTGTTGCTGTTCTGTAGCCGATTATAGTTGCTACTAGCATTAGAATTCCTGAGGGGTTGGGAAACATCTGGGCCGGTGGGGTAGCCTAGTGGTTAAAGCGTTGGCTCATCACGCCGAAGACCCGGGTTCGATTCCCCACATGGGCACAATGTGTGAAGCCCATTTCTGGTGTCCCCGCCATGATATTGCTGGAATATTGCTGAAAGCGGCATAAAACTAAACTCAGTCAGTCAGTCAGTGGGAAACATCTTTGTAATATGCCATGTGGGGCTTTTGTCTCCAATTAAGCAGGCACAAGATACAACTGTGTTTCTTTCTAAAGGGATGTTTTTTTCAGAATACTCTTGCAGATAAATCATTCCACTCAGCTTCTGTAGTAAATGTTTGCATCTACTATGGGAGTGATATGACAATGGATGACCTCACTCACTCACTCACTCACTTACTCTTTGTCCCCAGATCTCGACTCCTGCTGCCCCCCACCCCCTGGGCGACTCCTTATCCTCATCAACCCCCACAGTGGTCCAGGAAAGGGGCTGCAGATCTTCGAAAATGAAGTCAAGCCAATGCTGGAGGAGGCTGAGATCCCCTACAAGATGAAAGTCACAGGTAGGTGTGTGCTTCAGGCAGCCGAACAGGAGATATCAAACTTATATGTTAACAGGAGATATCAAACTTATATGTGGAGCTGTGATTGCTTATGTGCCAACCACCAAGTACTTGACAGATAAAACACTACCCCTGTTTACAAGACCTGTAATGTTTCACAGTTCAGTTGTTTTCCTACCACATTAAGCTTACTGTACATGCTGTAATATAACTGGAATACTGTTCAAGGGGGTGTTAAACCTAGCCCATTATATATTATTCTCTATTTTAAAACCCTTATTTGAAACACTTGTGTTTTGTGTTCAGAAATATAAATTTAAAGTCCCTACTGAAAGTGTAGAGGCATGAAAACAGAGACAACAAAGATTACACTGATGCAGTACAGATATTGACCAAATATACTTGTCTCTTTTTGAAAATTATACTTTTATCTGTATTTTCTTTTCCGTCAAAACTAAAGTTGACAGGTTAAAATGAAAATTAAGTTCAATTAAAAATAATTTTGTTGTTTAACTTTTTGAATAATCCTTTTGCAAATTTATATCACCTGTGTGTATAACATTAATTGTTCAGAGGTTGGTACCAGTAATTACTCGACTTACTGTTTTCATGTGTGCAGTTGTATGACTGTGTTCGAATGAGGGTGTGTCACAGTGTGTTTAGTTATGAGGGGAAAATATGAAACCTTCTGCTCATTTTAAACCTGACTGATACGGGACCTTCACTACCCTGGGTGAGGGTCCGTTCTTTGTAGCAGGGTTTCAGCAATTAAATACAAAATGTCAATTTCCAAAAAGAAATTCAAAAATATTTTGTTCAATATACCTTTAACTTTGGATAACATGAACTCTTTTTTAGACCAACTCCAAACTGTGCTAACGATTCAGATTCTTGTACCGTTGTCAAGCATCTGTCTCGAAGTCCCCAAACCACATTAATTTCCCTACTGAAGTAGTTATCCATAAGTGCTAAAGCCCTAAATAAAGCAAGTCTAACTTCTAAAATGCCACTGAAAAGAAGAAATATTTTGTTGTTGGTGACCTTTAACTTTGGACAACATGAACTTGAAAAGACCAACTCCAAACTGTGCTAACAACCAGCCATTGTGTATGTAGGACATGTAGTAACCATTGAGTGATCTATCTTATCTCCATGATACTCTGTAAGTCAGGGAGAAGTAAGCCCTGTCATTGGAGTGTTATCATGGCCATTATGTAATGTGTAGTGGCAGATGTGTGGTGTCCTGATTAACAGAAACATCATATCATATTAATCCTACATGCCACAATCTTGTCATGCTCTGTCTGTTTCCGAATAATTATCTTTGTAGTGTCTGTGCACTTGTGTGTGTTTGTGTGTTCATTTTGAAATGTAAGCACTAACTTGTTGAGGGACATTTTTTTTATATGGATAATGGATATTGCTTTTCTTTATTTGCAAATTGTTAACTTTGATCAGGGGCGGTGGGGTAGTCTAGTGGTTAAAGCATTGGCTCGTCACGCCGAAGAGCCGGGTTCGAATCCCCACATGGGTACAATGAGTGAAGCCCATTTCTGGTGTCCCCCGCCGTGATATTGCTGGAATATTGCTAAAAGCGGCTTAAAACCAAACTCAGTCAGTCAGTCAGTTAACTTTGATCCAAAAGAGACTGATTAGTCATTTAAAAGTCAGTGGATATGGCTCCCAAATCTTCTGGAATATTTAATATGGTCTGTTTCAAAAGATGAAATTGGAGGTATTTTTTAAAGGTATATTTTGTTAGATCAGTTTTGTAAAGCAGATTTTATATTCCTAGTGTGTGATGTTGAAGTGAAAGTCAGAAATATTGCTTCAGTTGTTACACTCTTTGAATACACTGAAAAGACATGGTTAGGACTAAACAAGTAAATAGTAAGTGGAACATATTTTTGTTCATCATGGTATATTTGTTCAATATCATGATTAATCTAGGGTAAGACTGGCAACTATATAAATTTATAGTAAAGTAAATAAATATAACTTGTATGTAATCTTTATTATTTCTGAGACCATTATGTTGCAAATATAGAAAAATATATTTGCTAGCTACAGAGCCCTGTGTCAATGTAAAGCAACATCCATGTTTTATAAGTGTCAGGTGACTAGAGGTAAGTCAGCTGTCAGTCTTGTTGATGCCTGGCAACAAGTGATACATATAATCATTGTAATGTTGCATCCTGTTCAGTAATATGAGCTGTTATATACATGTTTAACACACTACATAAAACAGGTGTGTCACAATATGTCTCGATGATTTGCATGGTGTGTCTCACTGCAGTCCTTGGTTCAAGTTGTTGAGAGGAAAAATGCTGGCAAAGCTGTCACCTCTTTAGAGTTTTTTTTATTGACTATTAATTGATGTCTACTATTATGCTTATATGGTAACATGCTATCAAATCTCAAGAGGTTTTTAAGACTGATTTAGGATTAATTTTCACAGATACAGTGTATTAGGGATTTGGATGGAACAACATGGTATAAAATAGCTGCTGGGACCAATTTTGATGCACTTTCTGTTGAAATAATAATTGGTGATGATGATTACCGGTAATAAATTGGTAAAATTACCAAGGACTTCCAGTATAAGCCTTACTTGGCATGTGTTTCATATTACCAAAATGTTCCTATGCTTCTGAAAACACAATATATATTATTGACCCATATGCAACAGAAGCTGAATTTTACATGTTAAAAATAATGCAGAATATGAGTCTAGCAAAGCAAGATTTATGGATGTCAACACTTCTATATTGTGAATAACACAACTTTCGGAGTGTATGCTTGCTCCTTCATCATGTGAATGGTAGGGCGTATAACGGGAGATATATATACATACATGAAGCACTTACAAAGAAAAGCTCCCAGGTTTATTTGGCCTTGGCAACTGCCCAGCATGCATTAAGATGGCCATGCCAGCAAGCTATGGCGGCCCTTACCTGATTCCTGTTCTTGCATGGAATGTTGTTCATAATATCAATCACTACATTTTCTGGTCCTGGGTGCCGTTGTATAAAGCGATCTTTGCGCTAAGGTGACCGTAACTCCCATACTTTAACACTGACTTAAGGTAGCCTTAGCGCTAAGGTTGTTTTGAACAACAGCACCCTGGGCCTAGATTTTCGAAGCTCTCTTAGCGCTAAGATAGTCGTAAGTGCCATTCATTAACATTAACTTACGACTATCTTAGCGCTAAGATAGCTTCGAAAATCTAGGCCCAGAAACATTACCATACATCCAGGCTAGATATGACTGGAATATTAGAGAGCAGCAGTATTGACAACAGACAGAAAACATGCCTCAAATAAGTTCTTCATAGAGTCATCTCAGTAAGACACGTCCTGTATTTCAGAGTATGCTGGCCACGCCCCGAGACCTGCTGCAGACACTGGCGCTGAGTGAATGGTATGCAGTGGTCATTGTGTCCGGCGATGGCTTGATATATGAGGTATGGATGTTACCATTGTTAGACATACCTAGGGTGCTAATCAGTACTAATACCGCTTCTCTTGGGTTAATCATACAATTATATTTATATAGTACAATGACGAGACAGTGTTTTTATAAAGGGTGTTGGATAACTTAAGGTATAAGTAGATATGGGAATTACCTCTTACCTTCACAAAATGACAAACATGGTGAAAAATTATCTCAGAGGACAGTCCCTGTATAGTAACTGGCCAGATGTAATAACATCGTATGTTTGATGTAATATCATAGTTTGTCATAGCATAATTGATCCAGATTTGAGTAACTATATCTTAATCTGATGGTAGTTACAAGATACAAGAATTTGTCATAGAACTCGATACATCTTGACTTCTTCATCTAACATACAAAAGTGACAATGTCTGCTCACATTGATGTAATTGTTGTGGTTTTAGCTTTGAAGAAAGTGGTTTTTTGCTTCTCTTTTTAATGAATTCTCATATGACTAAATGCCACTGTGTTGTCCTCCAGGCTATCAATGGGCTCATGGAGAGGCCGGACTGGGAGAAGGCAATCCAGATTCCCATGGGATGTATTCCTGGTGGCTCCGGCAATGCTCTCTGCTGCTCCATCAACTATTCAGCAGGGTGAGGAGCTTGATGCTTTTACCGTCTGCTTCACTGAAGCATTTAACAATTAAGTTTGATGAACTGATTGTGGTTGATAGTTGTTGTAAGTTGTACTGTAGAATGCATGCGGAATGCATTTTGTATTTATTTCTGCAAATTAATGTCTGTTGACATGTAGGATAAAGTCCTGTTGGACTGTTTGGTGTATCATAGAAACAAGGAGACATACATGGGGATTTTCCTCATCTAAAGGTGAGGTGAGGTGAAATGGGTTTAATGTCGCACTGGAGAATATTTCGCTCATATGACGACGTGCATGCGTGTGTATGTGTATGTGCGGCTGCTTGTACTAGCCCAGACTGAAGCTGGTTTTATAGGGCTAGCCCACTGAGATACCATGCCACAGTGAAGCATGAATACCCCACTCAGACATATTATACTGACTCCGAGCCGACCAGTCCTTGTTGTACCCATTAATGCCGAGAGCCAGGCAGGGATCAACAAGTACCATATTTTAACGTCTTTCCGGGTGGATGCTCTAACCACTACACCACGGAGGCGGTCCCTCATCTAAAGGTGCTTGGGGTCCATATGAAATGGTGTGAGTGTTTGTTAGGAGGCCGGGATGAGTTTCTAATAAATGATCATGTCTTTAATGTCATATATATTGCCATTACTCCCCTCAGAGAGCCAGTGATCATGAATGCCGTGCTACACTCCACCTTCATCCTCATCAAGCATAAAGTTGTTCCCATGGACCTGGTGCTGATCCAGACACCTTCACAGAGGATCTTCTCCTTCCTGTCTGTCACATGGGGCATCATGGCCGACATTGACTTCGAGAGCGAGAAGTACCGCAGTATCGGGGAAGCCAGGTTCACTCTCGGGGCCATCAAACGGATTCTCAGTGAGTACCACCCCAACGGGGATGTTGGAGAATAGGTACCTAGCCTCCTGTGCTAGTCAGGGTGAATAAATAAATTGGTTGGTGAGGCTTGGTGACTTGGTTCATGGCATGTCGTACCCCGACACCCTGGATCAAAATATCAATCATTGGTTTGTCTGGTCCAAACCCGTTCAGTAGCTCCAACAATTCATGGCTTGTTTGGACATGATGTGGACTGAAATCCTTACATTGTACAGAAGTGGAAGCTTTGTTCAGTTCACCTGATGTTTTTCTTCTAGGAATGTCAAGGCATAGATTTTGGTTTCTATTTAGATAAAAATTCTGTTATCGGTCATCAACTATGAAGTATTCTGATGGTATGAGTGTTATAACAATATTCTTTTCCCAGGAATTTTGACTTTGTATCAGTTGCACCTACCAGGATATAAATTCAGAGAGTCAGATGAGCTACAGCTCTGATTTACTTGCAGTAATATATTATCAGGGATTGAAACATTTAAGAATCTGCACTCGCCCTGCAAGGCGAGTAATATGAACTTTCCAGTCGTCCTTCTAAAATTGTACTTGCCCTATAGATCATGCATCACAATGAATATAAATTTACATTATTTAATTTCAAAATGTTTGCTTGGAATAAAAATACAATAAACATTACTTACTTTGTCTTGGTTCAAAAACTTTGACAAACTTGAATTCGTTCACTATTTAAGACAGCTGAACTTAAAGGAAAAAGAAAAATGTTACTTTTGGGTCAGAAAACATACTCGTCCTCTAGGACAAGCAAATTATGTTTTTCGATTGTCCGAAACAAATTTTACTCATCAATACGAGCGGACGAGAGGAATTTTCGAGCCCTGATTATGCCACACCACAATAAACAATATACTGAACATTTGCAGTTAAGTAAGACTAAGTAGGTTCTAGTGCTTTCATGAGGCATAATGTCATGGACATGTACAAACAGTCCTGTCATTAATTTTGTCATTTCATGATCAATTTGCTTTTCAGATTTACGCTCATACAAAGGAAAAGTCTCATTCCTCCCAATTGCTGAATACAGTCCCAAGGGTGTTAATGGAGAAACTAAGAATGCTGTTTTGACCAAGATCCGTAGATTTTCGCTACGGAGTTGCAGTAACAGTAAAAGCACACTAAGTTCCGGCAGCATTGACAGACTGTCTGCGTTCGGTTCCCAGGACCTTGTCAGCTCAGATCAGAACCCCAGCAGCTCCCAGCTGAGCCCCTCCAACTCCAACGGGAGCATAGGCGAGGTAAACGGCAACATGGCTGACCAGGTGCTGAACCTGCAAGAATCTCAGGAACATTCCATTCTGACCAACTCCGCCAACAGATGCAGCATGGACAGCAGCGGGGACTTCTCCTCAGACAACAACAAAGGATGTGGAGATGCTGCACAAACTCTGGAACCTGTAAACAGTACGACAAACGGTCACTTTGCGCATGGAGCATCCGGTGATACTAATCAGGGTTTGGGAAATAATGTGAAACTGGAGAGGAGTACCTTAACAGCTTCAGGAAGCCATGGCGATATTGAAATAGAGACAGAAACGGTTTCAGCCAAAAAGTCTGAAAACCATGGTATGTCTTATGCTCTTCTGCCTCCTCTAGATCAGCCGGTACCTGACAATTGGGTTGTTATAGAGGATGGGTTCATCTTAGTTAGTGCTTTATACCAAACCCATCTTGGTAGTAAGATGCTAGCAGCACCTCAAGCTCATCTTAGCGACGGGTTCATGTACCTTATGTTTATCAGAGACGGTATTCCACGAAATACACTCTTAAGTCTGTTTCTGTCTTTTGGTGAAGGCGGACATGTAGATTCTCCATATGTGGAGATTGTGAAAGTGCTAGCATTTCGGTTGGAGCCATCTTCGACAAACGGGAATATTATGATTGACGGTGAACGAATTGATGTGACCCCTCTCCAATGTCAGGTTCTACCTCAGATTAGTAGAATTATGGCGATTCAGTAATCAAGACGTTTCCTGTAGTACGATGGATGATGTCAAGATGGATGTTTATTGTTAATAGCATCTGCCGTGAAGCTGCCAAGCTATAGAGGATGCGATTAGTGTGTATTTATTCCAGGTTTGTGTGGACCACATTTACTCACAGATATACTTGTGGTGTGTACTGGAAGATGACGCGTAGGTTTCAAATTTGTGGAGATGAATGCACTAGCCTCCAGCTAGATTTGTTTTTGTGTACTTCATGTATTATGGTGTATTGTGGCTAAATACACAATACGTCATAATGCATATCAGTGGATGTATTAACATTTTTTATTTAATTTTTGAAGCATATTTGGGATAAATGTGTGATATTGTGGCTAGATTAAGTATGGTTGAACTTAATATGGTTTTTAGTGCATAATGGCTTGATATGCATTATATATATTACATTATGGTGGCTTGATAGATGCTTCAGTGGATGTCAGTTATATTTGCACTGCATGACATATTTGGGCTGGAGGTGCACCATGGATACATACACATTATTGTATGAAGCATGTTCGTTGAATTCAGAGTTATATGTGCACGGTATTTAATCTTTACGTCAGAAGAACACTAGATATGCACTGTTGGATGTATTATGTTGGCTTGATAAGCTCTATTGTTGATGTCAAAGTTATTTGTGCATTGTATTGCATATAGGGACCAGATGTACAGATAGTGCATGATGTGGCTGCAAATGCATGATATGCTCTAAATACACTATAGTGCCTGGTATATATTGTTTTTTGCCATATTAAGCACCATGGGAGCTTGGAAAATTTAGCAGTGTGTGTCGGAAGGGGAAGGGTTGGGCTCGTTGACAAAATGCACAGTAAGTCAAACTGTCGTCTGAGATCCAGGAGTGAACAGACTTCGTTCAAACACTGTTATAACAGAGATCCTTGCCATAAGAAAAGAATAGGGCAATGCAATATGTTTAATGCAGGGACTGAAAAGAGTGAGGAAGTGGAGATTTGTTGACACTGTTCGTGTATCTGGTCTTGATTTTTGCTTCCTGACAAATGTCAAAACTCTTGTCTACAAGTACAGTACTCACCTTCTGCTTATGAAAAGTAAATATTCAAATATATAACAGTAAGCCGCATGGACATTTTCAGGCTATGAACATGAAGAACATGGTGTTTATTAGGGCTGGGACTGGGCCCAATTTTCTACATGGGTACCCCATCCCGTATTACCCTACTATACCCTGATACCCGTTATGTTTATTCCTGACATCAAATTTGTAAGAAATGGCAATATATTCTTCAGCACAGAGGCTAAAATTTCAAGTTTTTCAATATCTTAAACATGTATATAATATTCAAAACAGGTGTCTGTAAATTATGTCCAAATCTTCAAAGACGATACAACCTTTTAATCATGAAGGAATAACATATTACATTGTTTAATCTATTAATCACATGATCATAACGGGTGTTGAGACGGGTACCTGGGTCCAACTCATTGCCCACCCGTCCCGGGAATCCGTGTTACCCGTCCCAGCCCGAGTGTTTATAAAGATTACATGTTGTTTGGTGTTAAAGTTAGGTGCTTAATGTGGCAACTACATCCTGGTGGATTGTTTGTGGTGTCTGCACGACTTTGCAGGTGGCCGTGTTGTAGACAACAAGTGTTTGGCCAGTGAGGGGCAGTAACTTACTGCAAAGAACTACTTAATGGTTGGTAGTATAAAAGCTTGTCTGTGATCCAAGCCATGACTGGAAAAATTTGGAATCAAATACTCTGGTAGTGTATTGCTTCCTTGATCAGTGTCATGTGACTATCATGTGACAGTCATGTGACTTGTAATGCACCTAACTTGTAACAAAATGTCACCATACACTGTTCAAGAAGAGTCTAGATTTATTATTAGCCTGGGTTTCAGTGTGTATTTATGCAAATAAAGTTTATTGAATTTTTGAAAATATTTATATATTTTCCAGAGTCTATGCAAAGATGAAAAATGACAGTTGGAACTTGCACAAATCCTTGTGAAAGATGTTTTATTATACTCTTGAATATGTGATTGTAGTGTTTAGAATCTATATGGCTCAAATTCATGGCATTTAGTCAAGAGTATACCGGTATGTATATTTGTTACACTGTAGATAACACTGTGGGTGTGAATGTGTATTTGATAACTGAATGGTCTATGTATTTACCAGGTGTCCAGGTTGGATTCCCTCCGTGGGTACAATGTGTGAAGCGCATTTCTATTGTCCCCCACCGTGATATTACTAGAATATTGCAAATAGTGCTGTAAAAGTAAACTCACCTCACTCACTCACTTCAACCAGGAGGCACAAGAAGACTGCACACTGGATCATCTATTTGGACGTTATCACCGTTGAGGTCAGGGTCAAGGTCAGCTGGGTCATTATTATTAACATTTAAATACTCATTTGAGTTTTCCTGTATATTTAATGCCATATAAAGATTTGTTAAAAAACATGGCTGGAGTGTGAGTAAGATGATACAAGCTTCCTTTCTCATATTTATGTTGTCACTTTGACCCATTCGTTATGTGAAATAGATTGTACAGTTATTCATTTAAAGTCTATTTATTTCAATATTTTGTAAAGTAAAGATGGGCTTGAAAACAATCAACATTTATTTTTGTTGAATATCACATTCCATATTGACCGACATGTACTGACATAATGGGTCAAAAAATATTTTATTTGGAATCATTAAAGCAAGGTCAGCTTCAAGGTCTGTGCCATATGTCATGTTGTCAGTTCATCGGAACAAAAATGTCATTGATTAGATTCAACAAAAAAAATTAAGTCATATCAGAAATCTGGCATTCAATGAATGTGAAAGGCCTTTTACAGTAAAATTTCTTAATGTATCTACTACAAGTGATCAACTTATACAAGTTAGTTTCTAAATGCTGGGACAGTGGGGTAGCCTAGTGGTTAAAGCATTTGCTCGTCATGCTGAAGACCTGGGTTTTATTCCTCACATGGGTACAATGTGTGAAGCCCATTTTCTGGCGTTGGCCACAGTGATATTGCTGGAATAGTGCTAAAAACGGTGTAAAACTACCATATACTCACTCACGGTTAAATGTTAAGGGCGGTGGGGTAGCCTAGTGGTTAAAGCGTTGGCTCGTCACGCCGAAGACCCGGGTTCGATTCCCCACATGGGCACAATGTGTGAAGCCCATTTCTGGTGTCCCCCGCCGTGATATTGCTGGAATATTGCTAAAAGCGGCGTAAAACTAAACTCAGTCAGTCAGTCAGTCAGTTAAATGTTAAGTTCATATTGTGAGCACTGGTTTGGGAGTTGAGCTTGAGAACTTAAATATATCTATGTGCCTGTGTGTGTGAGATCTCAGTCCTAGTTTGAATATATTCCTGACTATAAAAAATATTACAAACACTTTAAAGTCCCATTTCCGACATTTGAAATGCCATCGATATATATATAGGTACATGTTCATATCCAGTGTAACACTCAAAGTGAACCGATATGTTTGTCTATTTTTGTACATTTTTATCTTCTATGTGCAATAATCTCTATCATGGTGGACCAAGAACTGAACTGTGACCAGGAGGTGAAGCACTGCATCGCTGCGTCATTTGGATATGATGATGCATTACTCAGATTGTTTCCTTATGTATCGATGCACATTAATAAACTTGCAAGAATATATACTTGCTACTCTTTCAATGATCCCCACCTACAATGTGTGCAGAAATTAGAGTTTCAAGTTCAATATGGAAAATTGCCGCTGGAAAATATGTCTGCAGCTAGCTGTTTGCTTTGTACCTGCTCTGAAATATTTAGTCGAGAAATTTCAAGATTTGATGTAAATATTCATATTGCATGGGTATCCAGTGACCAAAATAGCCACTGGCCCTCTAGCCCATGGCTGGGGAAGTGATGATGATTTTAAGTGGGGGTCACCCATTGTGTTCTCACTCTGTGCGCATGTGTGTGTGTGTGTGTGTGCGTGTGCGTGAGTGCGTGCGTGCATGCATGCATGTATGTGTTTCAGTAATATTGTACATAAAAATATATTAAAATTATGCTTTAAAATTATGGGAGGGGTAGGGGGTGTTCAGTGATTTTGTACATGACATACAATTTTAGGAGGTCATTCACATTGTACATTCTTCTCCATGAAAATCATCATCTTCCCCCACCACCCCCCCCCCTAGCCATATATGAACGGTCCCTAAGCAGAGACAATATGAGTAAGTCGACAAGGTTGGCCCAGTTGTCTAAGGTCCAGCGGTTCATTGCGCAGATTCCAGATTTGCTCTGATTATTCACCAAAGTGGTAAAAATTAGGTTTTCCTCACATATGGAACATTCTGTTTAAAGTTGCATTCAACCAACTGTCTCACTTAGGGTGATCATCTGAATAGAAAACCAGTAAGTAAGAAGTTTAAAAAATATTAACCAAAAGTTCTTTTTCATGGTATAGTTCCAACCATTATTTTGTTTCGTTATTTTTGCAAAATGCATTTTTTTCTATAAAGGAAGTAAATTGGTCTTGCCTAATGATTAGGACACACGAATATCTGTGTTAGGTTTTGCCAAAGTTTTGATCCTGTGATGATTTGGGAAGCCAGTTGCTCATGTTGTCAAAAATAATGTCAGGAACATTTTATTCATGTCAGTTTATAGACCTACAAATATACTACAACTAAGAAGTTCAAGGACTCCGCATTTGTTCATATGACTATAGTTAAACAGTCATAGTCATTACAAAATAACTATACTTTATTTGAGAAAATGTAGAGTTCAATAACTTCATGTAGTAGTGGGCGGTGGGATAGCTGGGTAGTCTAAGCGTTCACTCATCACGCCGAACACCTGGGTTCGTTTCCCCACATGGGTACAATATGTGAAGCCCATTTCTGGTGTCCCCCGTCATGATATTGCTGGAATATTGCAAAGAGCGCCGTAAAACTCAAATCACTCACTCACTCCAGTAGTAGTGTTCATGTGAGAGTATCGGTACAGCCTATGCCAGTACACCAAGGATTAGTTAATGATCAAGACGTCTTCGTCCACGGCATGAGCATCCCATTGTCAAAACACTTATAGTGTATATGATGTATGTTATTTAACTATTCTTAATTCTGTTAATCCATGATATATTTGTCACAAAATCTCAGGACTGAGCACATCATAAATTATTGAAAAGACAAGATAAATGTACTTGTTTTAATATCATTAGATATAGTCTTCATGCCCAGAGTCGTAAAACCGTACTCACTCACTCACTCACTTAGCCTATGAGAGAGGTGAAAAATGGCATACACTCTGTGGTAGAGGAATGGATGTGAAACTGCTTATATTTAAGACATTTAGGAGAAAAGTAAAGTCATGGTCATAAATCATACATTATGCATGGTATACAAATTATATGGTTATGCTCAGGTACTACAATCTGGTTGAAATATATTAGGGAACAATCTCTTGATATTCAGGAGCTGAGGGTCTGGAATTGTATGAGAGAGAAAAATGTCCCAGAATATTCTTAAAAGAAATAATAATGCTTCACACTGTTACCCCAAAAAAATAATTCTGTCACAAATATCCCATTGTTTTAAGGCGTCTTTGTGAACAAACGTTTAGGTTCTTAGTTATCATGCGTAAAACATCAGGTTTTGTATCTGCAGCTGAAGAATATTTCATCTCATAAAATTCCTAGGCAGCCCCAGAATATCAAATGGTCATCCTTTTTATAGCACTCACATGTGACTATGATAAGATGGTGCAAGTGTGTATGGGTAACCTCATATTATAATGAACAACAGGATCGGGTGGTCAGACTCGCTGACTTGGTGGACACATGTCATAGTATCCCAATTTTGTAGATTGATGCTCATGCTGTTTGGTCACTTGAATGTCTGGTCCAGACTCGATTATCTACAGACTGCTGCCATATAGCTGGAATATTGCTGAGTGCAGCATAAAACTAAAATCACTCACTCACTCAAGCTGTTGATCACTGGATTGTCTGGTCCAGACTCAATTAGTTAGACTGCTGCCATATAGCTGGAATATTGCTGAGTGCAGGGTATAATTAAACTCACTATAATGAACAAATATTGAAATATTGTTCAATTTGCCTTCTCCATTGGATGACATTTGCTTGAAAAGTATATGGCATGCCAGCCTTATTTTCAAAGACAGTCTACTGCACTGTTATGATTGGAGATCTCACCGACTTGTTTTGCTCAATGATTGTTCCTAGTTGCTTGTGCCTGAGACTGATGTTTGTGTGTGATGTATAACTTATTTGTTACAGCTTGTAAGGTCAGTCTTCAGAAACAGTTTTGGTCAGTGTTGATGTTTTTGTTTAGTTGGTTGATATTCTGTTGTATTACTTGAGTTGTTATGTTTAGTATTGGCATCCGTGTATATAAAGTGATATGGAAGAACACTAGTAGCTGATTGCAGGTGTTGAAGAGGAGTTTTCTCACCTCTTATACTTTCAATCACAAGGTTGCTGAATTGGTCACACAAAATTCAATAGAGAAAAAACAGTGTTGTTTTATAAACTACCATTTAATATGAGTTTGAAGTTTCATGTTTACCCTAGGGTAAGAAGGTGTGGCCTGACAGAGAAAAGGTCTCGCAGGGAAGGCCTTGTAGAGAAGGTCTGGTATAGTCAGAAGGCCTGTTAGAGTATACCTGTTGAAGTCAGACGGCCTGGTAAAGTCAGACCGCCTGACAGAGAAGGTCTGGTAGTCAGACGGCCTGGTAAAGTCAGAAGGCCTGGTAGATAAGGTCTGGTAAAGTCAGAAGGCCTGGTAGAGATGGCCTGGTAAAGTCAGACAGCTTGTTAGAGAATGCCTGGCAAAGTCAGGAGGCCTGGTAAAGTCAGAAGGCCTGGTAGAGATGGCCTGGTAAAGTCAGATGGCTTGTTAGAGAATGACTCGCAAAGTCAGGAGGCCTGGTAAAGTCAGAAGGCCTGGTAGAGAAGGTCTGGTAATGTCAGAAGGCCGGGTAGAGAAGGCCTGGTATAGTCAAAAGGGCTGGTAGAGGAGAATACCTGGCAAACAGTGAAGGCCTGGGCCCAGTTCCACAAAGTGATGTTAGTGGTAAGGTGACCAAAGCTCCCATACCTCAACACAGACTTATGATCATGGTAGCACTAAGATTGCTTTGTGGAACAGGGCCCTGGTCATTATGGAGTAGCCCAGGCATATGTTGAGAAGGATTGGTAAACAGCCCACAGTGTTTGCCACAATCTGAGTGATTCAAGAACTTTACTTCTTACCGCCGCCATTTTGCAGAGTGTGGCGTAAAACAACAAACCAACAACCACAGATATAGCTCGGTAATCTTCATGCACTGAATCCCAGGTGTAACATAATGGGGATACAGTGACACAAACATGTCATGATTCTATACTGGTGTGACATATGTGACCGATTTCGCTTTCATTGATTTTATATAATTGTCATAATCAGGCAGAATAGTATGTTAGTTATCCTGAACTAATCAATACTACTAGCAAACAGGAATAAAAACATATGGCTTCACAAATTCATTTACGTCAAGCCTGATTGTGTCTTCACAATCCAAAATATTTTTCAAATATATTTTCTGAACAGAGTTCCACCATGTCACCTTCGCTCATTATTAACATTATTAAAAGGAACCCATTTATACTCTTTCCTCCAATATCATCTGAAACTGAAATAGCAGATGTTCTTCAAATGTTCACAGTGAAATGAACACCACTTGTCGTGCAAGATAGGCAGGTCTTGTACAGAGTTTAGAAGGGGACAGTGGCGTAGCTTAGTGGTTAAAGTGTTCGCTCGTCGAGCCCAAGTCTTGATTCCCCACATGGGTCAAATTTGTGAAGGCCATTTCTGGCGTCCCCTGCCATGATTTAGCTGGAATATTGCTAAAATCATACTAAAAAGTCAAAGTTCACAAACCTTGATCAGTACATAGATGATATATATATACAAATGCTATCTTAACACCTGACTTATTCAAATGCCAGAAAGTATAACTATAGAACAATTGTCCAGCCATGTCTGACTGGTCCATTTTGAGAATGTGATTGGCTCGGATTTATACAAATAGTCAAATGGATAAGATATTTTTAAACTGTCAGATCTCTTCATGGTATAGAAAAATGCAGATATATTTCTTTCAAAGATATTTTTAGTATAAGAGAAGGAGGCAGACAAAAGCGTTTTAAATGTTCTGTGAAGTAAATTCCTGAAATCAAATTAACAAATATACAGATTAAAAATTGTAAATGAACATTTATTCAAATCTCTTTGGATTTATATTTTTAGTTTTGTTAAAGCTGGGTTTAGATTGTCAATATAATACAACTATTAAAAAAGCTGTGAAGCTTTGCCTGTAACCTATTATCCAAACTATGACATTGAAATCCTCTTCATATAATATATTATATACATTCATGATACAAGACCAAGACTATAATATACACTGACCACATACTAGACATTAGTGGTTCTTCAATGTGAAAAGTTTTAACGTTCATTCATCTAAACTATGACTTCTGCCATTTCCATTGTATTTCATCCTGCTCATGTGGTATGTATAATGAAATTATTTTTTCACTTTGTACACAGATTTATTTACAAAACTTTATTCTTAATTTAGGCCAGACCAATTTTATTTCTTGTTTTACGGATTTTTTTTCCTCAGAAAACCTAAAGGCAGGAGGGAAAGAAAATAAAAATAAAATCACCAGTCCAAGTAATATTCCTTCTAACTTCTCAAAGTATTTTAAAGTATGAAGTGTGTATGGGGCAAAAAACAACCTTAAAAAGATTTTCTTTTAAGTTTACATTTTGGCCAATAAAAACATTAGGATTTTATTTTTTAAGTGGGGAAAATGTTTTTTTTCTAATTCTTGAAAAAATACGACCGGCAGATCTGTAAAACAAGAAATAAAATTGGTCTGGCCTTATTTAGACTATAATTAGCTGTAGTAAATATATGGTAATGGCTTCATTGTGTTCAGTCATGTTGATTTTGTGTGATTTGGTTTAATAAAGAATCTACTTGATATTTGAGTGTTGTTTTATGTTCATACCTGCTGTGAAACGATACTACAAACTCCATGATATAATGTGTTTGTGAAACAAGCCCTGAACAAGCAATGAATTTTACAGACCTGGGGCGGTGGGGTAGCCTAGTGGTTAAAGCGTTTGCTTCGTCACGCTGAAGACCCGGGTTGAAGCCCATTTCTGGTGTCCTCCACCATGATATTGCTGAAATATTGCTAAAAGCGGTAAAACCATACTCACTCACTACACAGACCTGGTACAGTTACAGGGTTTGTTGTTCTTTGACAGAGGAAATGTGGGACCAAGTCACTTGAATGGGTCAGTTAGGTGACCCCAGAATGCTAGTCAGTCACGTTCACGTCCAGACATACACCTGGCCACTGTGTAGACTAATTCAAGCAACAGGTGAGTAATTTTATTACCTTCAACAGGGAATTTTTACAGAAACGTAGAAGTTATAACAGACCATGAGAACTTCACTGACAAGCAGTTTGGCAAAAGTGTTAAGCTCATGCCGTGCGAAGACCGGGTTCAATTCCCCACATGGGCACAATGTGTGAAGCCCATTTCTGGTGTCTCCCGCCGTGATATTGCTGAAATATTGCTAAAATTGGCATAAAACCATACTCACCCACACACTCAAGAAACGTTACCAACAATTGTTTCATGTAAAACATGTTTATTACCCAGTAGATATGCACCAGTAAGGTCACAGACGGTTTGACATTTTATAAAGATGATATGCTTTTACATATAACAACTGTCCTCCTTGGCATACATCACTGCATAAAGACTACCACTAGCAAATACATCATGTTACCAAAGGACACATCAGGATGTGAATCACAACATTTCTGACAACTTAGTGACAAGTATACTGCATTGGACGGAGGATCACACATGTACCACATCCAATATACATGTATGTATACTAAGAAGCAAAAGTAACCTATTAGTCGGATTAATAATATAATAATATTCACGTTTTAAACTCCAACCCCTTTTACCACCTCAGCTGTGTCATGTTGAGAAAACAATTGTCTGGACAGCGGTCAGTTGTTTGATCCCCTGGCCTCGTCGTATCAACAGAATGTGAGTGAGTTTAGTTTTACACCGCACTCAGCAATATTCCAGCAATATGGCAGCAGTCTGTAAACAATCGAGTCTGGACCAGACAATCCAGTGATTGCATCAATCTATGTAATTGGTATATGATGACATGTGTCAACCAAGTCAGCGAGCCTGACCACCTGATCCTGTTAGTTGCCTACTACGACAAGCATGGGTTACTGAAGATCAATTCTAACCCGGATCTTCATGGTTCAACAATGTAAAAGATGCCGCTTGGCATTTAGGTGACAAAACTGGTCAGCATCAAGTCAGAGCATGTCTGAAGAGGAAATACATGATAAACTATGCCATGATATCTCGGTATGATTAATGTAAGCACTACAGATCCAGCATAGAAGTCCAGACTGGTACAAGATAATAGATATGTGCATGTACATTGCTATATGTGTGGAATAGAATGTGAGGATTACCCACACATCGGAACTCCTGATGTTTAAAGATATTGAGTGTACTGTTTAACTTGACTAAAGATGGCTTTCTAGATTTTAAACAAATAAAATTACAATTCAAAATCTGCTCTTTACAATAGATGTGAAATGTCGGATTATTTTTCATTTCTGTCAAAGAAGTACAGCTGGTGTGACTTACTTTTTGACCTCCAGCGTATGAAACCAACACTGAACTGACCTGGTTTGTCTAAACACGTGGTTTGATGAGTGCACAGAAGCTTGATTAATCTGTCAATTTTACAAATAAAGTAAATACATATCATTAATGTTCTGTAATCAGTGAATTCATATAATCAGACGTAATGTGGATGTATAGGAAGTCCCTACTGGCAGGACACACTCATGTAAGTATATACCAGAGAAACTTAGGGAAAATGATTTTTCAAGGCTTAGGGACCGATGAGGATGATTTTATGGCTAGGGGGATGATGATGATTTTTATGGAGAAGCATGCACAAAATGAATGAAATAAATAAATATAAAAATAATAATATTTTTATTTACAAAATAAGTGACCCCTGCATCCCATGTACAAAATCAATGCCTCCCCCTTCCCTTCCCATAATTTCTAAGCATAATTTACACATATTTTTATGTACAAAATTGTTGATCCCCCCTAGTACGTGTGTACAAAATTGATAACCCCCACTAGCTGCCCAGAACAAAATGGGTGACCCCACCCTTAAAATCATCATCACACACACACACACACACACTCACACACACACCAACCCAGCCCAGCCATAACTTATGAACGGTCCCTTAATTTGGGATGTACTAGTGAAAGACTATCTTGAAGTGCATCTGACCCAAAGTAAGGTTCAGAGCCAAAACTTCGATTGACTCTCGAACTGAGGATTAAATTGAGACATTTCATGGCTAGATATCTATCTGGTGTTTAATGAGCCACACCATCAGGATGTCACCCAACAACCCACACCTGATCCACTAAGTCCTGCAGCATGTATTGCTGGGGGCTATTCTAACCCGGACTTCCCACAGGGACTTGGTACATTGTAACCATGCCATAACACACTTGAATGCATAGTGAACTCTTTTTTGAACAGATTTTGAAGTTTATAAATCACACAGATTCTAAAATACCTATCTTAGCAAAAGCTAAGAATATACTGAGTGAATAAGTATGGTTTTATGCCGCTTTTAGCAATATTCCAACAATATCACGGCAGGGGACACCAGAAATAGGCTTCACACATGTGGGCATTCGAACCTGGGTCTTCAGCGTGACGAGCGAACGCTTCTGAATATACTGAACAAGACATCCTCAACACATCGACTTCTGAAAGTGTCTGTGCTACCAGTGTCATTTAATCAACTTGACACCTGCCAAGCAAGCTCTATGGAACATCACTGTTCAGATGACAAGAAGAAACTCTTTCATACAATTCACAGGATATCGCGATTGTGAGGAACAGTACACTGAGGAAGACTACACTAACCACATGTTATTCCCAAGGAAAATTATTTATCTCCTGCAGCTTGGTAAAAATTAACCATTGGTTTCTACCAGGAAACTGGTTGGACACAAACTTCCTGATTGAAATCAATAGCTTTATCCAGATAGTGATGTTACTGTGTTACCATGGATACTACAACAGGACATGCTGATGTATGTTTCAGTACAGGAAAAAAGACTCCTTCCTTGTATGCTGTTTCCTGTCTCAATAATAATTCATAGGACAAGTCATGCACAAAATCACATCGTGAGTGTTCATTAACATTTGGTGGGCATTTTCAAACCTTTGGACCAATTAATGCAGATATTTCCTTTTGAACAAAAATACAACTTTTCATACCGGCAAAATGCATCTTCCCTGTATTGCATGTGTGTTGTGGAGTTTACATACCAAAAAGAAGTTAATTTGTCATGACATATCCACCATAGCTATGAGTGATGGTATGGTTTCCAGTAATATCATAATAAGTCATCTTCTAGTAATATTCCAGCAATATCACGGCAGGAGACACCAGAAATGGGTTATTCACACATTGTACCCATTTTTGTGGGGGCAAACCACCATAGCATTATGCATGTTCTGTAAGTCTTGTTGCCAAACACGGTCACCCATGTGTCGAGCTCGACGTTGCTTAACTTCAACTGAGACCTAGTGGTTACAACATAATGGCAAGCAGAAATGGGCTTCACACATTGTACCCTTGAAGACCATAGTTATGTGTTCTGATTCTCCATATGGGTACAAGATGTGAAGCCCATTTCTGGTGTCCCCCGCCATGATATTGCTGGAATATTGCTATTAGTGACGTAAAACCATACTCACTCATTTGTTTGTGTCCTTAATCAGGATTTTCACATTTACTTATAACTTTAAGAAATTACATAGAATATCTTCTAAATTCCATTGCTACATCTGTGAAGGGAAGCTGATCTGTAATATGAGTCATGGAAATTTGACAAATTTGTTTCAATGGCAATGATGTGAGGGAACGTTGTGATATAACACAGCTTCAAAGAACTGCTTATTCCAATTATTTAACTAATCACAAGCAGAAATCTGCATCAGCTCACCAAGATGCAATCAAGAGAATTAATACAACCACTGAGCATTTCCAGTTTAAGTCATAACTTTGCATAAATACACTAAAACAGGGGCGGTGGGGTAGCGTAGTGGTTAAGGTGTTCGCTCGTCACGCTGAAGACCCGGGTTCGAGTCCCCACGTGGGTACAATGTGTGAAGCCCATTTCTGGTGTCCCCACCATGATATTACTGGAATAGTGCTAAAAGCGGCATAAAACCAAACTCACTCACTCACTCACTATAAAAAACCTGTTCACTGATGCTGAAGATTATTTATTATTTATCATCAAGACTTTGGTTATATCACAGTACCACTGAGTGACTGATGAACTGATTCCCATATGCCTCTTTACCATGACATTCAGAACATCAGGGTTATTTTTTTACACAAAAACCCAATACAGTCAGCCTCATAGGTTAGGATTGACAAAGCTGATACTAACAATGCTAAAATCATGTATAAGTTGATATAAATACTTGAATTAATATGACACAGTACATATTACAACAATGTAAAACAATTATTTAATGAATGATATGGAATCATGTTCTCATGATAACACCAAGGCACAACACACACTCCTTCCATGTAAAGGTAATAAAATATCACAGACAGTTAGGAAGGCAAATAAAACATGTTGAGCAATATACATCTCAATGTATAAAAACACTTTGATCATCACCTTACATTCAGATCAAACATCTGTCACGATAATATTAATACCCCTTGCAACATGTACAACCCATTGTTGATTTTATAGCATAATGTGATCACAATATTGGCTTTTGGCCACTTTTTAAGAAAGTAGTCCATAAGCGGATAATACTGATAGGAGCAGTGTCAGACACGATTGGTCACATCAAACTCATTCACAGCTCAAGAGACTGAATTTTGGATGAAAACAATTTGTCCCTCTAAGTTGTCACTATAGTCTGTTTGCAGTGAAAACGTACCGATGAATTTCACTTTAAACAAAAAAGTAAATCACATAAAGTGAAATTAAGATTGTGAATCCTCATGATTTTACCTTGCCAATTGAACTTTTAAATCTCAGAATTTTATTCAACTTATGATAAAAGTTGTTTAACAAACGATCATAGTTTCATATCGCTATACAAGGGGGTATGCACATTAAATGAAACCCCGAGAACAAGAAGGGTTGGTTTCTACAGTAGTCTAAGTTATCGCTCATCACACGAAACGATCATAGTTTCAAATTGCTATTATTGGTTTGTATTACAAGGTAAATACAGTAGTTGGAACAGCGAAACAAATGCATGTGTGGTACGTGATGAGCGATAACTTAGACTACTGTAGAAACCAACCCTTCTTGTTCTCGGGGTTTCATTTAATGTGCATACCCCCTTGTATAGTGATATGAAACTATGATCGTTTGTTAAACAACTTTTATCATAAGTTGAATAAAATTCTGAGATTTAAAAGCTCAATTGGCAAGGTAAAATCATGAGGATTCGCAATCTTAATTTCACTTCATGTGATTTACTTTTTTGTTGAAAGTGAAATTCATCGGTACATTTTCACTGCAAACAGACTATAGTATCTGACAAAATGACAGGTGGCCATGTCTGTCCATGTACTAGAATAGTAGTTATTAATATTTGAACACACAAATCTAATTAACCATCAGACATTATCTATGGTTTGGTCACCTGTCAGACAGCAGTGTTTGTAAATTAAGGGTTGAGGATTTCTGCTTGAGTGTTTGAATCTATGCACCCCTCAAGATATTTACCATCTTGGTGAAACGCAAAGATGGCGATGGTGCTGACAAGTCTAGTACCCAAGGGACATAACTCTGCATAGTGAATTGTGTCTGCAGATGAGATCTAACGAGCTGCATCAACATTGTCTTAATTGTGTCACATATCACTGAAAGGAACACAATGGGTTTGACAGGCAGCAAACAATATTTTCTGTGTCTACTACTATGGTCTGTAGTCAAACACCGAAACTGAAATATGACAGAAACAGTTCATGGATGAATCTTACACAACAGTTTGATACAAATGATCTTGGAATAAGATGACATCTTGTATAGATAATGATAAGTAGATGTCAGCAACAAAATGTGCGGTTACCTGATTTTCATACATTATTTCATCAAATATGTGTACAGATTAGAGATATGGTAACGCAGACTGACAGACAATGGTTGAATCATGGGAAACACTGAGTTTCGGATGATTAGTAGTGAACTTGATTTCTTTAAATATAAATAGCAACATATTTCATGAACGTACTGCTTCATGCCATGATTAGCATGGAAACACATGGGATCACAGGTCCAAGACAACGAAAGACAACGAAAGGAGGATCACGAACAGAGAAAGGTAGAACTGGTCACTGTTTGTTACAGCGTACTTCGTTGTGCTTCAGTGTGAAACTGTACTGACATGAATGATCTATATGTAATTTGAAGTAACTCGACATTTAATTATATCTGCAAACTGTTGTGCTAATAAACCAACAAATATCATGGATATCAAGTCTTTCAACTACATGAAATGTACACTATCTTCATCATATCAGTGCAAATTTATGTGACATCTGTTGAAACCTCCAGTCTGACATTATTCGTATTTACTTAGAAGGGAAACTTACATTAAAGGTCACATGCAACCAAAAATCAAACATAATTAAAACACAATTATCACTTCTTCATGACATATAATATGCATTGCTGATTATGAAAAAACAAATAAACAAAATTATAAAGTATAATCGCAAATCAAAAGTGCAATATTTTGTACTTGGGTTTACCTCCCTCGAAGCGAAGCAGCCGGGATACGAACCCAGTCAGGCGGGTGGGTGTGCACTCAAGTGTAACGGCTGGTTCATTAGCAGAATGCCGCCTTCGCGGCTCATTGTGTGTGTATATATAGAGAAAGTTGGGTTTTGTAAATACATGCTCATTTTTTGTGTATAACATTTTGCAATCAACAGACATCATAACATGTCATGTGTTCAAGTATCACACCTGCCATGTCTGTGTAATTACATAATGTGACAGAGACCGAACTTCGGGCCATAAATCAATGCGTTTTGTTTATGGTGTATAGCCTGATTGGTGTTAAGTTCAAATTGCATGTGGTCAGTGATCGCAGTTGTGTATTGAATATTGTCATTAGCAGACAGGCAGGCAGACACACAGGTGTCAATAAAACAAGACATTGAGTTTTGTCTGTGACAGCGACATATCTATATCACAGTTAGAAATTGTGTCAACTCTAAATAATGACATTGCTTTTAAGTATCGAACTGAGAAAGTGACTCGGTAAGAAGAGCGTGTGGTGAAATAGACAAATGAAATTATATAAACAGTTTATTTACTGTCATAACATACAAAAGCTTCGCCTGTGAGATATCAACAAAACATTATGAAAATAGCTCACACCAAAGCCTTCACCGGTATTCACCAGACAGCCCAGCTTCCAAGTTGCGCGAACCTATTTCACTGCGCCGCGTGCTATGGCGCAGCCCAGGTGTTGAAACCCGTATTCCCCAGAAAAGTCTGGGGAAAATTAGTGAAAGCGTTTGAACTCCGATTTGCGTTTTTTTTCATCGGCGTTATTTTTCAACTTTATAAGTTGAATTTGCATTTTGGCGATTTGTTTTGGTAAGTCCATACCGCGAAGGTATCAGAATCTGCAAAGTTGTGTTTTTCGTTGCATGTGACCTTTAATAGATATGTCCAGTTGCCTCTTGCACATGATCATCACTGTTGCTATCTATGTCTTTAGTTACTAAACATAGAGGACAGCTACAGGACGGATACAGTGATACATACAGGCGATACATAACTAGTACAGGATGGATACATGATACATACAGGCGATACATAACTACTACAGGACAGATACATGATACATACAGGCGATACATAACTACTACAGGACGGATACATGATACATACAGGCGATACATAACTACTACAGGACAGATATGGATACATGATAACTATACAGGTGATACATGATACATACCACATACATGGATACCACATGATGATACATGATACAGGACGGATACATGGCTACAGTACAAGGGCTTCACAGCACATAGGTTGAGTAGTACAATCAATCCAGTGTATGCATACCAGCTAGGGTCTCTTATGACCTCCCATTCTGACCTCCTATTTTGACCTCCAAGTTCAGGTGTCATCTACTTTAGCTATGTAACTATCATAATCTCCATGACATGATAATACAGTATGTTAATGTGTTATGTCATAATCATGGCTACTATCAATCTGCAGATCAATCTTCAGATCTAGGGTCTGTTGTCAAATCTATTTTCTGTCTACACTATCTGCTGATGTCTCTCTGGGCCCACCAACTACTGCTGTGTGCCATGTTCCATACATTCATCTCCAATGAACTGACAACACTTGATTCACACTATAGGATGGATTATGATGAAAAATGCAAGCACTTCATGCTAATCTGATAGTCGCTGACTGCAGACATCATTCCCTCATTGTTACTTCATCAGTAATTCGCTGAATGATCAACCTGAGGTCAGATCTTCTGTGAGCCATGATATGGAGAATGTTTCAGTGTCTCTAAGAAAATACTTTCCTCTTCTAAGTACTCCTTGTCCTGGAATGAAAATCATATACAATATAAATGAGAAGTTATTCCAGTTACAATTAAATCCAGAAAATAATCCCCCAAACAGCACCAACCCAACAATACATAATCATCCCAAACATAACTCCTGTCTTGATCTATATAACCTTTCCAAAATACACGCCCAAGATTTGAACTTTCCTGAATTTAAATTCAAAACTAAAAAGGTTTTTGTATAGTATGACCAGAAATTATTGAGAATTTTAGGAATATGTTTAATTGGATTTCTAGTATAGACAACCTTGACCAGCTATCAAGTGCTTGGTTTCATTCAAGAGAGACAACTCCATTAATCCTTTTTTCATTAGTTTGTGAAGAGTTAGCCCCCTTTGTTTACTTGCTAGCAGACGACATTTTCAGTGATCCTCAGTATGGATGATTTAGAGAAGAGGAAGTTGATTTTAGAGTATTATAACAAGGACATCAGATCAGCTAAAGTGATTTCAAGTAGAACAGGTATCCCTTTTTTCTACTGTTTTTCTTGTATCATCAATTTTCACAAATACTACATTGTAGTTATAGCCAATCCATATACAGCGTAATTTTGAAGAATAGGACCTAAATAAAAAAGGACATAATGCCGTATATGGGACTCCAGTGCTCGTCCAACCATCAGCTTGGGCAAAAAGGGAGAGTGACAAGTAAGGCAGGTCACCTGACTGTTTGCGCGGGAAAAGGGCAAAAGGGAGGCAACTCCTGGGTGAGTGTATTTTTACGTCCGCTTCGGGAACTTCAAGGGATTCAAGTGTTCCACTACCATTGGCAAGGGAAAGGGAGATAAGCAAAAAGGTCATGAGTCAGGATAAGTAAAAATGATGATTTATGTCATTGGTAATTAATTAAAACCAACTTTTCAATGTTTTCACAATAAAGTTTCTTGTTACAGTGACCTTCATAAGGACATAAAGATTATTACTTGTTGAACAGTGTTACAAATATACAACATACAACCATACTGAAAGTACTTTCTGAATGAAGGAAACTATTTCAGGAGTCATTCATTAGTGAATGACCTTCAAAGAAATCTTGGCATCTGACACAACAAGAAATCATAACTGATCGGAAACTGCTTTGATTTTGCACAAAATTAATACAAAACATCTTGACATTAGAGCCATGTTTCATGTGACCTCTAGGGACCTTCACCTTAAATAGGTCACTTAAGTTGATGCAAGTGATGAAATCAATGTGATCAAGTGAGGGAATATTCTGCAAGGGTGCACTGAAGATATAACATCCAAGAAATCTCAAGCAAAATGTCAAAAGTGTGTAGTTGAGAAAACCAATCATGGCAGTTTTGGAGGTCAACTTTGGGCAAATACAGTTAGCACCACCATTACAATATGAGGCTTAGTAAAAACAGGCACTACATAGTTGTGTCACAGTGTGTCATTGTGTCAATAAAAAACCCCTCACTAACTCACCTTCAAGGCTTCAATCTTCCACAGTCGCACTGATCGGTCTGCTGCTATCGATGATGTTATGGACTCAATGGCGTTGAAGGACAAATTCATACTAGAATTACCATGATATATCATGTTCCCAGCATGCATTGGAGTTCGCATACCATTGACAGGCGACATCGGTCCTGCCGTCGTCATGGGCACTGAAACAACACACACAGAAGAGTGAGGACAGCAACATAATATATCTTGTAGCTAAAGGAAACGTTAGTTATGCAACCAATCAGGGCAGACATTATGACCCATAAAAATTATGATCCCATAGGAGAGGAAATCAGTCTTTGCCCAAAACATCAGCCCAGTTTGGCTACAACTGTCATTTTTTAAAGATTTCAGTGGGATATTTAGACTGTCACCAGCTGAAGTAATTCTTTTAAGCTAAGGATGTATAGTGAAACCTTGATAGTGCAGACCCTGTTAATCCAGAACACACACCTTCTGTACAGGTACTGCAGAGAATGTATGCAAAGAGACAATACTTTAAAATCATAATTTGTTAGTATGTCAGTCTCAACAACTTCAGTCTGAATGATTCCAGATTACCAGGGTTTCAGTATATTTGAGATGAGAGTTTCCACGTACTGTGTGCTGGAACAATGTTGGAGTCCCCAGGTCTCAGTGGGGTCCGACAGTTCGTACACAGGGAGGAGTTCTTCAGGTTTTCCACATCTTTCTTCTCCTTAGCTAGTCGCAATTTCTCCTGAAAATGTATATATTTGATACCATTGATTCTCCTACAACATATCCAATCATAAATACAAACCCAATAAATTCTCTGACCATGACTGTTAAAAAACTTGATGAGGGAGCAGGTGGGGCAGATATTAGTTCCACTGAAAAAACGTTCTACTTTTACTCAAGGGGGTCACAAGTGATGAAGCAGCACAATAAAGATGACCAAAGATAATATTAATCCAAATATCGACCGTGTCTTGTCTGATGCTGCGGCTGCTAAATGCCACTTGACTATACAGCCAGGTTATGCACTGTCACACCCAGCTATCCTCATCAGCTATCTGTACAAGCATGGGTAACTGGGTACAACTCCTAGCCTCTTGCAGTGTCTGGCTTCGTGCACTACCTCAGAGATGTGTTCCTCCATGTTCCTAATGTTCTGGTGCTGTTTATGTATCTCCTCCAGACGCTGGTTGTGTTGGGACTCTATCTGTCTCGCCTCCAACAGCGACTTCTCGCCATCTCGATGAGAGCGTGATGCCAGCTGAAAGCATGGGCAGGTCTTTAGTTTCAAATTCTATTAGTTATGAAAAGAATTCTGTTAAAACACAAGCTATCACATAAAGCTTTAAGTATGGAACAACATTCTCATCCGCCTTAAGATTAAGTGGTGGCGTGTGGTCCTGTGCACAGAGCTCAGGTCACGAATCAGTTGAAGTTAAGCAACGTCGAGCTCAGACAGTCCTTGGATGGGTGACCGTGTTTGGCAGCTTGACTACTGAGTGTTTCTAGGACTTCAGTCCTGCCCCACAACGAAGCACATGTGATACATGTGGTCTCACCATTGGCAAGTGAGTTTGTTCAAAATTGCCTCTGTTCACCCAGCAGAAAATGGGTACCCGGTTGGATAAAGTCATGTGACTGTAACCTTCTAGCAGCTTTGGTTATCCACGGTAATAATAATCAGATTCTGATTAAGCGCCACGAGCAATCACTTGGTGTTTGGAGACTGTGCGCTGTAGAAGATGACTTATTATTATTGCTAAAATTTTCAGAATGAAACCATCCAACCAGTCTTACCTCGCTCATGGAGTCGACTTCTGCAGACTTCTGTTTCACCTGTATGGCCAGGTCAGACAGTCTGTCCTTCTCTGCATCAATCTTAGCCTTCTCTCTCTCCAGCCGTGTTCGTTCTGCATCCATTCTGTCTTCTTCTCTGTGCAGTTCCTGTAATCTCTGAGATGACTTGGACCGCTCCTCTGCTATGGACTTCACCAAGACGTCATACTCAGCCTCAGCCTAGAAAACATAACAGGTGATGTAACATAAAAATGCTAAACACTTGCTATCCTGTTCTTGATAATGAAAATCCCATGGATAACAACAGCAACATGAATACACAGATTTATGGTGGGAAATGAGAAATATTAGCATGGTATTTCTCTGACCTGAGCAGCTTTGATGGAGTCACTGTTCATCCTCTCTCTCATCATCTTCTGATCAATGTTAAACTTGGTCCTCTCCTCAGCCAGAGCCCGCCTCTCCTCATTGATTTGGTTCATAGATGACCTCTGTTCCTCCAGGAAGGCAGACTGTCATGGAATTAGGAAATATGTTTTCTACATCATAGATTTGTCTATATTCACACAGGGATTTTATATAAAGTGACCTGACACAACACATTGAGCAGTCACCTTCAGTGTGTTCATTGATTGCTAGATTATACAACACAAACTGCCCAAACCATGTTGTGTCTTCATACAAAATATCTACTGATTATCATAGTAAACGGCATCTTCCAACAGAAAGTCTGCCTCACCCTGACTGAGACAAGGTCTGCCTCACCCTGGCCCTCTCTACCTGACACAAGGCAGCCTCACCCTGATCCTCTCTACCTGACACAAGGCAGCCTCACCCTGATGCTCTCTACCTGACACAAGGTCAGCCTCACCCTGGCCCTCTACCTGACACAAGGTCTGCCTCACCCTGGCCCTCTACCTGACACAAGGCAGCCTCACCCTGGCCCTCTCTACCTGACACAAGGTCAGCCTCACCCTGGCCCTCTACATGACACTAGGTCTGCCTCACCCTGGCCCTCTACCTGACACAAGGCAGCCTCACCCTGGCCCTCTCTACCTGACACAAGGTCAGCCTCACCCTGGCCCTCTACATGACACTAGGTCTGCCTCACCCTGGCCCTCTACCTGACACAAGGCAGCCTCACCCTGGCCCTCTCTACCTGACACAAGGTCAGCCTCACCCTGGCCCTCTACATGACACTAGGTCTGCCTCACCCTGGCCCTCTACCTGATACAAGGCAGCTCCTCATCTGGCCCTTCTACCTGACAGGATGTCTGCCTCATCCACCCTGATTTTCTACTTGACACAAAGATCTGCCTCACCCTGGCTCTCTCTACCTGACACAAGATCTGCCTCACCCTGGTTTTCTACCTGACACAAGGTCAGCGTCACCCTGGCTCTCTACCTGATACAAGGTCTGCTTTACCCTGGCCCTCTCTACCTGACACAAGGTCAGCCTCACCCTGGCCCTCTACCTGACAGGATATCTGCCTCATCCTGACACAATCTGATTCACCATCCCCTTCTACAACAAATGTCTGCCTCACCCTGGTTTTCTACTTGACACAAGATCTGCCTCACCCTGGCCCTCTACCTTACGCAAGATCAGCCTCACCCTGGCCCTCTACCTGACACATGGTCTGTCTCACCGTGGCCCTCTACCTGACAGGATATCTGCCTCACCCTGAGTCTGTTTCACCATCCCCTTCCACAACAGAACGTCTGCCTCACCCTGGTTCTCTACCTGACGAAAGGCTAGCCTCACCCTGGCCCTCTACCTGACACAAGGTCAGCCTCACCCTGGCTCTCTTCCTGACACAAGGTCAGCCTCACCCTGGCCCTCTACTTGGCACAATATCTGCCTCACCCTATCCCTCTACCTGACACAAGGTCAGCCTCACCCTGGCCCTCAACTTGACACAAGATCTGCCTCACCCTATCTCTCTACCCGATAGGATATCTGCCTCACCCTGACACAGCCTGCTCCACCATCCCCTTTCTACAACAGAACATCTGCCTCACCCTGGTTCTCTCTATCATGTCCCTCTCCCGGGCCTGCTGCTCCACCCACACCCTTCGCTCCTCCTCCAGGGACTTCTGCTGAGCATCCAGACGACCATGGTCCTGTTTGACCTTCCACCGTTCCTATAGGAGGCAAGGGTCAAGAGCACAGTGATTAAGTTATTCAAACTTACACTACTAAGAGTGGTAAGGAACTCTAGGTACAGCATAATCAAACTGCAAAGGATAAATTTGTAATCATGGGATACTTCATTTCTCATCCTTATTTATTCTTGTGATTTGTTCCTGCATTGCCTGTTACTAACATAGCCCATGGACACTCATGGACAGTGATATTTATAACAAAGTCACACTTCTTCATTACAAACTTGGTTGTTTAATGTCACACTCAGTTACATTCCGTGTATGATGACTGCAGCTTGTAACAACCAAGACTGGAGCATACAATCAGGTGACTGACGTCATGAGCATCGATCTACACAACTGTGAGACGATGACATACACCAACCATGCCAGTGGGTCTGACAACTAAATCTTCTTAGCCACCTCTTATGACAAGCATGAGTTGCTGAAGACCATTTCTAACCTGGCACCAATCCGGGCTCAAACTGAACATGCCACGGTAAAATCTACCGTATGCCCACAGATGTGAGTATCTGTGTCTTGCATGTTCACTATATATTAGTTCTGTAAACATGATCAATACATGGCAACTGTCTAAGATTTAAACTGACTTCTTCCAATAAGAGTGAACCTTGAGTGACAGTCTCAGATCCTATATACAAGTGGCAGAGCCAATCACTTACCTCATCCAGCATCCTAGTCTGATCGCGGAGCTGTGACTCCATCCTGGCGATGAGATCTTCCAATCTCTTCCTCTCATTCTCATTGTCTGCCTCCTGGCGAGTGAGACGCTCCTGCAAAACTATTATCAAACACGTCTCAATACAGGTCTGCTGTTCTACTATGAGAAAGAATACACCTCCCCAATAAGTTCACAAAAACTGTATTTGGATTGATGAACAGTCAAATGCATGAATCCATGGCCTAGGAAGTTGTCTTCAGTTTAAATCTGTTGACATGGTTGATTTCAATATGCAGAAATACACCAAAATAGATGGGAAAATCCTTCATTTAAGGAGCATATATGTCATTGTTTGAAATAATCTCAGAAAGGATCTGTTGAAAATGATAGGATAGATTCATCTGCAGCATAGTTCAATGTTTAAAATAACCTCAGCAAACATGAGCCATTACTGGCCATTACTGTTTCAGGAAACATGGAAAGATACCAGGTTACTGAAGAATACTGGCAATTACATCCAAACAGACTTACTCCTGAGTTGTTCGTCCTTGGACTTGAGTGAGATCTCCCTGTCATCCAGCCCCTGACGGTGCCAGCTGTCCACCTTGAACTGCAGCTCCCCAAGGTCCTTGGCATTGTTCTGGATCTGTTCAACCACTGCAGTCAGGCTCCTGGAGACTGACACAAAGTCAAGGTGACGGGACCAACAACACAACCAGGTAGTATTTCATTCACAACATATTCCTACCTTGTAATGCAATACCCAAGTCAATGGCACCTTTTTAAATGTCTTGAGGCTGGTTGATCCAGGGTTGTTTGCATCACATTCACAGGACCAAACTATCTAATATATATGTTTGACATTCAAATACTGTATCTCATCATGTACCTGTTTCTATGGAATTGATTTAATATATTACTGTTGCTCGTCTTCTATGTTTGCCTTTATAGCTGTAGGATCAGACATCACTGTATCTCATCATGTACCTGTCCTCTAGATTATATGACATACTGTATATCTAATATGTATTACTGTTGTTCGTCTTCTATGTTTGGGCCTTTGAGCTTCTAGCTGTAGGATCAGACATCACTGTATCTGCATCATGTACCTGTCCTCTAGATTATATGACATACTGTATATCTAATATGTATTACTGTTGCTAGTCTTCTATGTTTGGGCCTTTGAGCTTCAAGCTGTAGGATCAGACATCACTGTATCTGCATCATGTACCTGTCCTCTAGATTATATGACATACTGTATATCTAATATGTATTACTGTTGCTAGTCTTCTATGTTTGGGCCTTTGAGCTTCAAGCTGTAGGATCAGACATCACTGTATCTGCATCATGTACCTGTCCTCTAGATTATATGACATACTGTATATCTAATATGTATTACTGTTGCTAGTCTTCTATGTTTGGGCCTTTGAGCTTCAAGCTGTAGGATCAGACATCACTGTATCTGCATCATGTACCTGTCCTCTGGATTATATGACATACCTGGAAGTATCATGTGCACTGGCCACTGCTTCAATCTCCAGGTTTTTGGACTTCTTCAGCCTCTCTATCATCTCTTCTTGTTCTCTCTTTATTTCAGCAACTGATGATCTGAAAAGTGTAACAGTTACACAATTTGATATTGTCATTTTCTGTACACATCTAAATTCTAAATTTCTACCCCAATAACTGTACAGCTCTTTCAGCCTATCTCAGTACCTGTGTTGTTCCTTCAGCTTCTCCATGTCGTGGGCTCGGGCACGCTCCGCCTCCTCCAGGTTCTTGTAGTTCTGGTTTGCAATGTCTGCCTTCTCCTGCTCCATCTTCCTCACACGCTCCAGGTGGTCGGCCATCAGCTGCTCGTTCTCATTCCGCAACCTACATTCACATACAAACATACAACACACATCCAAACCAGAGTGACAACATAATATTTAAAAAGTGTTTCTGTAAGCATTGGTATCAGTGTCCCTTTCTGGAGAATCTTATGAGGCACTTATGTGAATTCATGCAACTGTGCTGAACAATGAAATTACCTCGTCTCTTTCTTGCGATTAGAATCTTCCAAAATCTGCAGTCTGTTTCTGAAAAAGGAAATACAGAATCATAGTGAGTTGGGTTTAACTCCTCTTTGAACAGTATTCCAGTTAGATAACTGTGTGTCAGTTAAATGTGCGAGGAAAGTTTGAATGGATGCATGTCTCAGGTGTTTACCACCGTGGGTATGGTGCGGACAAACCTAGAAACTGGGATTTGAACCCTTAAACTTAGGTTTCTGCAAGGGATGCGATTCGGCACAGCAAATTGCACCACGCTAGAAGACTGGACCACCTGTGCTCCCAGAGAATCAACACTAGTACTATATCAGGTTTCTTTGAATCTATACCTCAGTAAATATTTCCAGCATTCAAACCAATCTTTATACATGAAAGCAAAATAAGTTATATATATGATGTCTGAAACTAAACACACTAAATTCCCTGAAACATTTCACAAACAGCAAATGCCACGTCTTTGTGCTAATAGCAGAGATATTGCTTACTTATATGATGCTTCTATAGCTGCGATCTCCTCATCGTATCTCCTCCGTGTACTGTCCAGCAATGACTCTGCATAATGTTTCTCTATCTCAAGTTTTCGAATCTGACAAGAAAACCACATAATTTCATAATTTATCTAACATAAGAACACAATCCAATACAGACATACATTATCATTCAAAGATATCAGATCCCCTTTGAAATATTTAACAGTGAACATTTATCATCTGATGATGAACTCCAAATGAGTTTCAAATAATGTTTGTCTATAATATTGCTTTATGATTTCTACTACATCTTTTCAATATCATTGTGATTAGACATTTTGGAGACATGTCTAAAGAATGACACCAGTGCCAATCTACACTATAGTATATAAGGCTTACCCTTGATTGAGCCTCTTCTAGAGATCCAGGAAGATCATCCAGACGACCACTGATGCTGTTGTAGGACTGTGGAGTTGATGGGAAGGGTGTTGACCCCAGCACGGGAATACTAGGTGTAGTCTGAAACATGGTCCACATGAGAGATTAATGCATTACTCAAGTGCAGAAACGTTTTGAGTCGACTAATCTCTTGACATTGTTTTGATAGATTTTAGAAATATTGAATGGGCTATGTTAGTTTAGTATACAAGACCAATCAAAACTATACTTGTTGCTGCTGTTGCAGACAGTCACATGAATCATGAAAATCGTAGGACAGCACACATTTGGTTCATTTCCAATTTGTAGTCTAATAGATGATAGTAGTGTAACAAGCATTGTCACTAAGGCGAATTATCAAATCAAATGTAAAAAGTAAAGAAAGTGAAGGCTGTAGTTTAAGATGAAGTAAAATGTCAACAAAAGCATGACCAGTCAACCTGCACCTTCCCAAGATGATGCTTTATGTCAAATAGGAAGAAAATACAGTGAATTGTTTGTGAGATGTCTCGCTGACAAGGTGAACATGTAGGTTAACATGCAGGTTTTCAAAGTGTGGCTGTGATCTTGAAAAATATGTGAAGGTCACCAAAATCGACTGGGCCCTGCGTCTTCCCAAGATGAAACTTGGTGTCAAATATGGAGAAATTTCAGTGATTGGTTCTTGAGATATCTCACTGACAAGCTTAACATGCAGGTTTACATGCTGAAATCTTCAAAGTGTCTCAGTGACCTTGACAGTTATGTGAAGGTCATCAAAATCGACAGGGCCCTGCGTCTTCCTTAGATGAGTGAGTGAGTTTAGTTTTATGCCACACTCAGCAATATTCCAGCCATATGGTGGTGGTCTGTAAATAATCGAGTCTGGACCAGACAATCCAATGATCAACAACATGAGCATCGATCTGCGCAATTGGGAACCGATGACGTGTCAACCAAGTCAGCGAGCCTGACCACCCGATCCCATTAGTCGCCTCTTACGACAAGCTTTACTGAAGATCAATATTCTAACCTGGACCTTTACGGGTCCTTCCCAAGATGAAGCTTGGTGTTGAATATGAAGAAAATCCAGTGAACTGTTCTTGAGATATCTCGCTGACAAGGGTAAAACGTTAAAGTCCCCTTGTGACCTTGAAATGAATGTCAAGGTCACCAAACCTGACTGGGACCTAACTGTGATGAACATATATACCAAATATGAAAAGAATCTAGTTAACTGTTCTTAAGATATTCCAATTTGTATGGTCGTGCGTACGTAAGGACGGACAGAGCCTAATACTATATTCCCCGCTTCTCGCTAAACGCGTGGCGGGGGATAAACATGCTAAGGTTCAATTATCACTAAGACTAAGATGAATCATTCAAACTACCTGTGGGGAAGTGTGGTATTGTGACTGAAGGTCTTGCATCATCCGCTGTAGTTGAGCCTGCTGTTGTAGCAGATGTTGCTGTTGCTGGAAGTCCGGGAGATGAGGCTGGGGTTGGTGTCGTGGACTGGGCTTGGGAACCGGCTCCTCCAGGAAGTCCTGTAGGGACTGACTGTAACCTGGACCTGTGTTCACTAATGAACTCTGCCAAACAAATACTTGAAATAGTTTTCACACATTAAAAGTTCAATGAAGCAGTTGCATCAATTATCCACACATAGTTCCAGACTCCTGGAATCCAAAGTTGCTGGACTGGCCAATTTAAGCCATTTAATTTAAATATACTATCAGTATGAATATTTATTCTTAGTAACAATTAACCTTACATAATATCACTTTGATTCTAAAGTAAAATAGTAATTCAAAGTTAGGAAACTGGACAAAACAAAGACAGTCAATATATTCACCTTTCTAATGACTTCTGGTGTACGTTCTGATGTGGTCGTGTCGTGAGAGGGCCCAGTGTACTGAGTGACGTCTCTCTTGAGGGGCTGCTGCTGGTACACCTGGGACATGATCTTGGACTGACGGGGAGGCCCTGGTGTCTGACCTGTGTCCACCTCATCATCCATGTCCATCGTTCCATGTCGAGAAAATCCTGCTGCTCCTTCTGTGCATATACAGTGAAGCCCCGTTAGTCTGGACCCCGATAATCTGGATGTCTCGCTCCCGGACGATTTTAGCTTGTTACCAATCTATGCCTATTTAATTTGCCTCGATAATCCGGAAATTTGGTTTCCGGAACCGACGGTAAGTAGCTGTAACCAATCAGTAAAATAAACAGTAAATTGCTTCACAGTCCGGACGCTGTAAGTCGTGTTCACGAACCATAACAACACCTCCCGGCGATGTTTACTTAACTGGCCTCAAACAATAAACACTCGGTGTCATGGAGTTGACAAGATGAACTCTTGTTAACTTTTGAGAAATGTCAATTAAAGGTTGTTGTTTTAATTAGACATTAAAAGCTCCTGACTGAAGATGCTGTACATTTACACTTTGATTGACACTGGTTTTATAAGCTTTACATTAAATGCTTATTTGTTTTATCCAGAGTCGTGTCGTTTTTGTAATAGTAAGGGAAGCAACTCTTGCTTGAACTTGGGTCTTGATTCAGTAGTCCGGACGATTCGCAATCCGGACGAATTTGCTGAGAAACGCAACCGTCCGGATTAACGAGGCTTCACTGTAATTAGGATGAACATTTCAACTCTATCAATGACATACAGAGCTATGTTCTTTTGGCTGTGTTACATACTTACTTACAAGGTAAGAGCCTCGTACCACAAATAGATATTAGTCATAGAAACGTTGTAAGTCAGTGTTAAAGTATGGGATGATTGTCTTATAGCTAAGATTGCTTTTCTCTGACTGAGAATCAGAATCAAATACAATAGAAAGTTCACAAATTTCGTAAAACTGGTATCAAGAACAAATAAGGTATCTTATTTATCACCCAAATTTTAAATAAATTGCGTGTCATACCAGTTTTGTATATTACCATCTGATCAGAAACAACATGTGGTTTGATGCTGTATTTTTCAATATTTTTTTACACCCAAGGCATAATGGAGACTTAATTCATAACAGAATCTAACTGTCAACTAAACCTAAATTACACGTCTGCCACTTTTCTGAAGCCCTGTCTAGTAAAAGTTACTAAAACCCTGTTAAATATAATCAGTTCAACTAGTCCTAGGCCACATAATGACCCAAAATCTACTAAAAGCATGGTTAGGGGTCAAGTTTGTACAGACTAGAGACTTTGGGCACAAATTGACACGTTTCCTGGGTTTATGCCTCATTCATTGGGTCAGATAGAAGGGAATTCAATCATTCTTTTTATTTTCGTATCTAAAAGATTACACTCACTTCTGCCTTTCATGAATCCATCTTCCGGTCTTGTATCAGCCATCTGTCGTGTCTGCCTGTTGTGAGGGTCCTCCTTAGCTGATGAACTGAAGATGAATACATTGGAATAAAAACACAACAGTTTTTGATAAACAAAAAACAAACGAGGGATCAATTGATCTAAAGTGTGAAACCTAACCATGAATTCTGATCTTATAATATCAGCACTATGGCTTCAATTAGGGGTGGCTATTGAGGGGGAAACAACTTTTGCAATAGCGATAGTCTATTGCGACCAACTATTGCAATAGTTTTTTTTCCCATGAACTGTCTCATTTGAAGTCATTTCCCCAATGAATATATAGTTTATATGAAATATTAACAAGTTGAAGTAGTTTCAGTCTCTTTTAATAACTGACAAGAAACTTCAAACCCAGATCAAGTAAACAGTTTTTGCCGCTATGTTTTTTAAGAGGTAACAGGGGCGGATAACTCTAAATCAAAGTGAATGAATCTGGAACTTCCTGTATTTTGCGTTGAGCATTTATCAACGGAAGTCAAATACTTAACTATCGAGAGTCACACATACTATCGATGCATTGACAGTTTTTCATTTCTTCCATCGATCAGTTGCTATCAGACACTCAACAATTGCAATCCATCGATAGTTCAATGCATCGTTACAGCCCTAACTTAAATGTAAGTGGGTCTTAATGCAGTGTTCACGAATAGCGTCTGACCCTCTGACAAATCCAGCAGATTCGCCAACGGTCAGACAGAAGTCTACATCCCGCCGGCCCCAGTGTCTGACTGTATATTTCACAATGACTTTGACTGAAGTTGTTATATGTGACACTTGTTTGCTGTTTATAAATCTTATGTTTGTTAATAATTTCAATGCCAATTATGAGAAATGTTAAATCTGAAATGTTTATTTAATTTTATTCTATGGGTCCTGTGAATTTTCAATGGGTCAGACAGACATCTGAAACTTACAGGACCCAATGTCTTGTTACTTTGAAACACCATTCGTGAACACTGCTTAATGTCCTTGTTTAGTACTGCTGTGGCTTGAGAGAAGTTGAATCTGAGGAAGATTTAAGTGTGTAACTTTTAATATCTGATCCTGAGTTGACAAGGATTCTTGACATCATTCTTAATGACACTGTTTTGCATGTCACAGTAACTTTATGTACCCAAGTCAGATCCATGCAGTGCCTTTAGAATTTTTGCCAACAGCTTCACCTATGACATAGTATGGCATGATCATTTGTACAGTTCCCTTAAGACAAGTCCTGAAACATTTAAATGGCAGTCAGTCTTACCCTGAGCCTCGTGTAGGTGGAGGAGTGAAAAGATCCTTGTTTCGTTCATCTTGTTTGTTGAAGGCTGGAGGAGTCTGGCCCCTGAAGGCCGGTGAGTCTGGCCTTGATCTGTGAAGAAAGATGCTCATCAGAGTGGCAGTTGACAGGGTTATAATAAGAAGGAAATTTTGCTTAATGCCCTTTTCGGGTATAACCCAACAACCCAGTCTGATGTGAGACAAAAGCCAAAGAAATGTCTTGCATATTGACTAATTTGGCAAAAAGCCATAAGAACTGGTACAGAGATCATTGACAAGCCTAGAGACATAAACAGTGCAAATTTAGGAATCAAGTGCATCATTCATCAAAGAAAGGCAATTCTGCATTTTTGATGACTGGGTACAATTCAAGAGCAAATAATAGTATGTGTGAGTAAATGTCTTTAGAATTACATGAGATTTGTTCCCAGACACTATCAGTGAAATAGTTCAGGAAATAGAGTCAGTAAACAAAACAGATGATGCTTCATGTCACAGTCACCAATATCGAAATATTTGATCCTGGACAATCCAGTGATCGATATCATGAACAATGAGCATTATAGGGTATGAGGACGAGCTATCAACCAACTCACCGAGCCTGACCACCCAATCTACTATGTCTCCTATTTTAACCATGAGTTGCTACAGGGTAGGAATGTCATCTGGGTCCGAACTTTGATCGTAGCCAATGTAGTTAAGAATGGGCTTAAGAAGTTTGTTGGGCTATGAACGTTTCGAGAATAGCTCGCCAGGTGTCACATGATCAGACACTGTGACCACCCAATCCCCTTGGTCGCCTATTTTACCCACGAATCGCTACAGGGTAGAAATGATCTATGCCATCTGGTATAATGACACCTGATCAGACACTGTGACCACCCAATCCCCTTGGTCGCCTATTCTAACCATGAATCAGTAAAGGGTAGAAATGATCTATGCCATCTGGTATAATGACACCTGATCAGACACTGTGACCAGCCAATCCCCTTGGTTGCCTATTCTAACCTAACCATGAATTGCTACAGGGTAGAAATGATCTATGCTATCTGGTATAATGACACCTGATCAGACACTGTGACCACCCAATCCCCTTGGTTGCCTATTCTAACCATGAATCAGTAAAGGGTAGAAATGATCTATGCCATCTGGTATAATGACACCTGATCAGACACTGACCACCCAATCCCCTTGGTCACCTATTCTAACCATGAATCAGCAAAGGATAGAAATGATCTATGCCATCTGGTATAATGACACCTGATCAGACACTGTGGCCACCCAATCCCCTTGGTCGCCTATTCTAACCATGAATCGGTAAAGGGTAAAAATGATCTATGCCATCTGGTATAATGACACCTGATCAGACACTGACCACCCAATCCCCTTGGTCACCTATTCTAACCATGAATTGCTACAGGGTAGAAATGATCTATGCCATCTGGTATAATGACACCTGATCAGACACTGTGACCACTCAATCCCCTTGGTCGCCTATTCTAACCATGAATCAGTAAAGGGTAGAAATGATCTATGCCATCTGGTATAATGACACCTGATCAGACACTGACCACCCAATCCCCTTGGTCGCCTATTCTAACCATGAATTGCTACAGGGTAGAAATGATCTATGCCATCTGGTATAATGACACCTGATCAGACACTGTGACCACCCAATCCCCTTGGTCGCCTATTCTAACCATGAATCGGTAAAGGGTAAAAATGATCTATGCCATCTGGTATAATGACACCTGATCAGACACTGTGACCACCCAATCCCCTTGGTTGCCTATTCTAACCATGAATCAGTAAAGGGTAGAAATGATCTATGCCATCTAGTATAATGACACCTGATCAGACACTGTGACCACCCAATCCCCTTGGTCACCTATTCTAACCATGAATCGGTAAAGGGTAGAAATGATCTATGCCATCTGGTATAATGACACCTGATCAGACACTGTGACCACCCAATCCCCTTGGTCGCCTATTCTAACCATGAATCGGTAAAGGGTAGAAATGATCTATGCCATCTGGTATAATGACACCTGATCAGACACTGTGACCACCCAATCCCCTTGGTCACCTATTCTAACCATGAATCGGTAAAGGATAGAAATGATCTATGCCATCTGGTATAATGACACCTGATCAGACACTGACCACCCAATGCCCTTGGTCAGCCTATTCTAACCATGAATCAGCAAAGGATAGAAATGATCTATGCCATCTAGTGCCATCCCCTGGGTCGCCTAATGATCTATGCCTTCTAATGACACATGACCACACACTGTGACCACCCAATTCCCATTTTAGTCAGCCCTCGTCACACTCATGGGGTGGTGGGTATTGGAAATTCTTGGCCTTAAAGGAGTGACAGGTAGATCTACTTGAATATCAAAAATGACTACTTACGTGAGGATATCATCCAGGTCCACCTCCTTGCCCAGACCTAAATAGTCATCATTCTGTTTGGCAGCACCATTCATACTAGAAAACACTGGCTTGTCACTGACATCTTTCTTCTCTGGTTCAGATTTCTTGTCAGCTAGTCCTAACCAGTCATCTGCACTGTCTTTCTTAGGCTCTGCCTTAGCTGGTTGTGTCCTGCGTGCTGATTGGCTAGATGGTGGAGGAGTCCTTTTGGGTCTGAAAAAGTCCTCATCACTGGATTCAGAATCTTTCAACCCTAACCAATCAGATGGACTAGATTTTGACTTTGTTTCGGTGGGTTTGGGATCTGGTGGTTTATCTGCTGTTTTTGCTGTTGAAGCAGGTTTATCATCTGTGTCAAAGTCCAACCAGTCCATTCCTTCAGGCGCTTTCTTAGCAGTGTCCCCTGGTGATTGACTTCGTCCTCTAGACGCTGGTTTATCTTCACCAAACAGATCGTCATCTTGAAATCTGGAGTCAATCAAAATGAATTTTGAGTCAATCTTATTGAATAACAATCTCATTTCATAAATATTAGGTACAAGAGTGAAACGTTACATATTGAGACATAACAGGTACAATACATGGCCTGCAAATAATTGCCACCATATGTTTATTTACTAATTTAGTTGTACATAAAGCTCTGAAGATCTGTTATAATCTAACCTTTATTGAAATGATTAAACTTTTCATACCAAGAACAGAACTGCATAACCTCATTACATATATTTTCCATTTCCAATGACACTCTGGAGTCTTCAAAGATCAAATACCCAAGATTTGTTGATGAAAGTAAAAATATCCTCACCGATTATTTGAAACAGAATCAACTCGTCTTGATATATTTGATTTCGGAATACACTCAAATCAGATTACTGTATTTGTAACAGTGACACTGTTCACTATATGGGTTATGAATGGTCCTTGTTTTCAGCATGAGTTGATTATGCCAGGCTGAGAATTACAGGCTACCTCTACACCATCACTACTCACCTGACTGACCTCCTTGACCCTGGCCTTGACCCTGAGGCCACCTGACGGCTGGTAACTCCCAAACAAAAAGTCATCTTCTTCCTGTTTGTCAGCTAGACACAAACATTAAGAGAACTTAGATTGTAGATAGTCTTCAGACACATGTAATTATGCCAGTTAATAGATCTACGATTAAACCATCACTAATAAGGTTATCCTATGTACATGTATATCCCTTACCTTCAGGCTTGGAGTATTTAGTGTCCAACACAAATGTTTTCTTTTCTTTGGTCTCTAATTGTGTAATTGCTGAACCTTTCCCAAGTAACCCATCCATGAATGACTTGGCTGACCCTTGACTGTTCTCAAGGTCATCAAGCCTGCTCTTGGGTTTTTCTGCACTCTTAGGCTTTTCTTCCATTCCAAGCAGGAAGTCATCTTCATCGCTGAAGATGACTTCATCTTTCTTCTTTACAGCTGAGACAAGAAGAGGTATAAATATGTTTTAAATTGTTTAATAAACAAATATTGTGCAGCACAGTCTGAGACAGGAGGTTAAGACAACCAAGTTCCAAATGAGTGGTTTGTTGTTTAAGGTCAGCACTCAGCAATATTCCAGCTGTATGGCGGCGTCTGTAGATAATCAAATCTGGACCAGACAATCCAGTGATCAACAGCAGGAGCATTGATCTACGCAATTGATATGTGTCAACCAAGTCGGCGAACCTGGCAACCTGATTCCATTAGTCGCCTTATATGACAAGCATGGGTTGCTGAAGACCAATTCTAAACCAGATCTTCACAGGTAAGTTCCAAATGAGGAGAGGTGAGGTGAGGTGAAATTGGGTTTAACGTCGCGCTGGAGAATATTTCGCTCATATGACGACCTGATGCGCGTGTATGTGTACGTGCAGCTGCTTGTACTAGCCCAGACTGAAGCTGGTTTTATAGTGCTAGCCCACTGAGATACCATGCCGCAGTGAAGCATGAATACCCCACTCACACACATTATACTGACTCCGAGCAGACCAGTCCTTGTTGTACCCATGAATGCCGAGCGCCAGGCAGGGAGCAACAAGTACCATATTTTAACGTCTTTTGGTATGACGCAGTCGGGGATCGAACCCGCGACCTGTGCAAAAAGATATTTGGTTCCACTTCCAAAGACAATAACAAAACGGCACACCATTTTATCAATCTCAACTCCCTGGGGATCATGCTACTCTAGCAATCACTAGATGCACCAAGTAAATGTGGCTTTCCCATTCTTAGGAGGTACCCATTCACAGCTGAGTAGACTGGGACACAAAGTCACAGTACTTTGTCCAAGTTTACTGCATGTTGCTGTATCCGCAACTAGGAGTTTGCATGTATTCATGTGGCCACTATCTGGTCATTTACCAACGGATTCATGGGTTCTTTTAAGTGCACAGGGTTGTGTACTGTACACTAGGGGTTGTGACAACACTGAAAGAGTCTGCACACAAAGTTGACTCCAAGGGTTTTATACCCGGTCACAGGTGGGCTAGATCCCGTCGCCTTAGACAGCTCGCCCACCACGCCCCCAATTTATCAGTTTTCAGATGCCAAATTTCCAGCTTCCCAATTCCCCAGCTGACCTGGCTTAGGTTTAGCTGCTACTGGCTCCGGCTGCGGAGGCTCCTCCTCATCTTCCTTGCCACTTCCACTTCTAGTTGGTGGGCGATCATATAAATTCCTTCTTCTAGGAGATTCTGAAGCAAGAATTACCAAAAGGAAGTTGAGTCACTCCAAAACGAACACATGAAAGTGGAGTCATTTGTAAATACACATGCTAAAATTTGAACAAACCTGTAGAGGTTGCAGATTCTTTTTCATAATATTCCTCCTTGGGGTACTTATAAGCATTTAAATGTCCATTTAAAATCCCGACGACAGTTGTAACAATATTTGAATAAAATATTTACATAACAAAAAGCTATGTTTTTGTCTTGTGAGACCACCCCTTCAGGGCCCAACGGACCCCTACAGCCAAGAGAAGGGAACTCTAGACTATAACCTCGTACCTCACTTTCCATGCTGAACGTAATCAGACAGAATGTGGGGAGGTGGGCGGCCGTACCCCAAGGAGGAATATTTTAAAAGAATCTGCAACCTCTACAGGTTTATTCGATTCTTTTTCATATATTCCTCCTTGGGGTACTTATAAGCATAAGACAGACTCCTAAAGACTGAGTCAGGGTGTGGCATTCTGTCTCGTAGAACAAACCTGATGACAATAGGAATTCCCAAACTAAAAATAGCGAAAAAATCTCACTTACCTGGTCACGTGTCCACCAAAGCCTGGTGGGGGCATGAGCCAGGGTGTCCACTAGCTTTAAGCCAATCGCCTCCGGGGCATCGAGCGAAGATAAGGGAATCTAGCAATAAACCCAAGAAGAAATTTGCCTAAACAAGCAAAGGTTTCCAAGGCAATTGGTCTAGTGCAGTACGGAGGAATGCAAAGTACATGGGATAAAAACCACCCCCATAACACCAAGGGGAAAGGTAGAATAGTTTTAAATACCCGACACCAGTTAAAACGGCAGATAATTGGTTCTCGTCATAAAACCTCGAAAGCTCAATCGGCTAGAGAGGTGGAACCCTGCCAAATGGAGAGAACTGACTGACCGAACCGAGCACGCTCGCTAGAGTGTCTGTCAAGCTGATAGTGACGGATGAACGTACTCGGTCGGCTCCAAATAGCCGTGAAGCAGATCTCCTCAATGGGCAGGGCTGCAGCGTATGCCTTTGATGTGACAACTGCCGTAACCGAATGAGCTTTCAAATACGACCTTTGTGAGTATAACCCATAAAAATGGCAGAGACAAGCCACCTAGAAATGGTCTGCTTGTTCGCCGGAAGACCAGCCTTGCCCCCGCCATAACAAAAACAACTGGTTATCCTTACGGGTACCCATTGTTTGTTTGATATAAGCCTTACGGACATCTAAGACGTTAGCACGCCGTAGAGAGGTACCGGGTGGGGAAGGCTGCGTGAAAGCTGGGAGCTCAATAGGCACCATTACATGAAAGTGCTATCACTTTTAAGACGGTAAGTACCAGGCAACCGAACGCTAACTCTGTCTTTGTGAAAAACAGTTAGCGCGGGGTCAGCTGACATTGCATGAATATTGCCTACCCGCCTGCCCAAAGTTACCGCCACAAGAAAAGCTGCCATCCATGTCAACAGCTGGAGGGAAAGAGCCGACAGATTGTGAAACAGAGGATCGGACAGCCAATCAAGAACGATTGACAAGTCCCACGGGGGACTAGTCTGCCGGACAGTCGGACGGATTCTGTCCACGCCTGCTAAAAAGCGCTGAACCAGAGGGTGCTGCCCCAAGAGTGCACCGTCAACAGGAATATGGAAAGCCGAAATAGCTGTTGAATATCCTCGAACAGTTGAATCTGCTAGACCGGCTGCCAAACGAGACTGGAGGAATTCTAATACAGAGACTAAATCTGCAGGAAAGGGATCGAGAATCCCCCTGCTGAAACACCAGTGCGCATAACAGGCCTATCTATCCTCATACTGAATGTTTGTGGAATCCCTCCGTGAAACCAGCTTTGAGCCGACCAAAGGGGAGCAAGGACCACAAGTAGGCAAGCTGGTTGAGCGGCTAGCTGCGACAGGACCTTGGAAATCAGTGGTATTGGTGGGAACGCCCACAGTACCCTGTCCATCCAGTCGAGCTAAAAGGCGGCGTTGGCTATCACTCTCGGATCCGGAATCCGAGAACGAAACACTGGTATCTGGTTCGTCACCCCAGAGGCAAGCAGATCCACCTGGAACGACCCGAACAACTGGGAGATAATCCCAAATATCCCCAAATCGAGCATCCGCTCGTGTGGGGCTAGTATAAACCGTGAGAGAGCATCTGCACAAACGTTGTATACCCCGGGAGATAAACAGGCAAAACCCAAATGTTGAACTGATCGCACGACATTAGAAACTGCCACGCCTCCTGAAGGAGTGACGGGGACACCGTGCCACCTTGCTTTAGGATGTTAGCCATACCTGTCTGGTTGTCCATTTCTAGATGAACCACACGGCTACGAGCAAACTCCAGAAAGCTCTCGAACACCCGGCGGACTGCTCTCAACTCTCGCACATTGATGTGCAGGCTGACTTCCTGCTCCGACCATAGGCCCGAGTCGTGAGCTAATCCTGTCTCGACTGATGAGATCACTGAACAGAGTGTCTCCATCCTGAAAAGACAGCACCTCTATTAACTTGTTCAACCCTCTAAGATTCAGAATGGGTCTGAACCCTCCGTCCTTCTTGGTCACTAGGAAGTAAGTGGAATAAAACCCCTCTCCTTGCTGACCTTCCGGAACCACCTCGATGGCTGCCTTGTCCACTAAAGACTGCACCTCGGCACGGAGAACGTCCGCCTTCTCTCTGGAGGCTGGCACTGGCTGAACCCCAGAGAAGGACGGTGGATCTCGCCTCCACTGTGGCAAATGGCCATCCCTGAGTGTGGACAGGACCCAGGGATTTGAAGTGGCTGCTTCCCACTCCTGAAGGAATAGTGACAGCCGGCCGCCTACAGGGACATTTGGCAGAAGGCAATGCACCCCCACAGTCAGCAAGTCTCCTGCTTGCTTGTGTGGGGGAAGCCGGGCTGGCTTCCCCTTGCCCCGAAAAGGCTGCTGCCATTGAGCAGGCCTGCCCTTGCTTCGTGCTCTCTTGCTCCACTTGCTCTGGAAAGGGACAGTCCACTTTGCAGGCTCCTTCACCGGGGCGGAAGGATAAGCGGCCGCAAGAGTGGAAGGCCGATGGCAAGAAGTGGAAGGGTGTTCCAACAAGGGTTTAGAATCCTTGAAGGTTGACACCGCCTCCGCGGCCTCCTGTACTACTTGCAATACCCCAGGAAACAGAGAAGACCCCATTGTGAATAGCAGAGAAAGCAGTGTGTGGCCGGCCAATAGAATGCCACAGAGAGCCAAAGCATGCGCATGCCCATGACTGCACCCATCATCTGGCTGGCACAGCACCTAATGCTGTCCCAAGCTAGATGAGAGTGTATGTCAGTGATTTGGTGTGCCAGCACAGGCGCCCACGAGTTGTCACCACTAGTGCTCTGATCCACTAACTGCTCCTGCAAAGCAGAAAGGTTGTGCTGCACACCAGTAAACCTCCTCAAAGGAACGGTATGTAGACTTAAACGTTGGGGCATTGGCCTGGAAGCCGCATGCCTTGCCTGGCCGAGGCCAGGGAGGAAGTGGACGACCCCGGAGGGTAACAGAGGCAAACACACACTCGTCCACCACTGGTGGCTCGAATAGTGCCTCCTCCCCCAACTGGTATTGCTTGCCAACGTCCGGTAAATCGAATCGTGAATGGGAACCAGTCAGCAGAGGATTGACTACCTCACTCACCAGTGATGGCAGAATGCAGAGCCTCACCTCCGGCGACCCGGCTGGGCGCGAAAGCCCCCTGGGAGCCTAAACTCAGCGGGATTGGGCGCTGTACAAGTACAGCCACCTGGGGCAGCACGTCCGCGATACGCTCCCCGGACTTGCCGCAGGGACGACCCGAAGGAGTACATGACCCCGACTTCGGACTTCTCTCCCCTCATCCTCCTCCATGTCAAAATCTGCACACTCCTTGGCTAACGGACTCTCATAACCGGGAGAGGTCACCGAGGGCGCCACTGATGCCGAACACGAGGGCTCAAAAGGTCAAGTGGAGCCATGAGGTTCCAGTCGCCCTGCCCCCTAGTGGAACCCAGACCGGGGCACCGAGGTGCCCGGGAAGAACCTGCCCCTACAGTATTCCCAGGCTGCCCAGACTGCACACGGGAGCGCCATGGAGGCCCTGAGCCGGTCAGCGTCAGGTGTAACTGAATCGCCTGCAACAAACCTGAGCCCGAAACTAGGTCGACACAAGGTGCCCTAGACAAACTATCACCTGAGCCCAAGCTCGGATCAAGTTGCCCAGGGGAAGGAGCAATCCCCGCTCGGGCCACATCCAACCATCCCAGATGTGCCCGATCCGTCCCAGATGACAGGCGTGCTGAGCTCCTTACAGAACCCAGACAGTGACGTGTCAATCAATGATTTCACGGACGATATCTGTTCCTGAAACAAACTTGATAATGCTTCAAATGTTACCACAGGTGCTTGAGCAACGGGAGGTGCAGGGGAGGCAGAGACTGGGGCAGGAGAGGACTCCTTGACTACCTTGGCTTTTTTAGAAGCTGACTCCGAGTCCGAGGAGGCCCCAGAAGGCACCTTCTTTTTATGTGAACGCTTGGACGGGGGACCCTGAGCTCAGATATCACCCCCTGCCCTGATCAGATTGCTGTAAAACAGCGTATCTGCCCGCCAAGACTTAATTGTTTTAGGCGTGAAACAGGCACAAACCGGGCAACCTTGTTCTTCATGGTTACCCTCCATCAAACATTGTAAACACGCATCATGTGTATCTTTGATGGGAATGGACAAATGACACGTAGCACAGGTTTTAAACCGCAAAAAGTGAAAAGCCAGGTCCTACAGTGTATCCCGAATATACAATACACAAAACATGCATGGGAGATAAACAACTAATGCTAATATAACTGACACATATATGTGAAAGATAATGTAAGCATTTAGATGAATAACAGCAGATAATAACAGGCTGCACCCACCGCAACATGACTATAAAATAATGACTAATAGCGCATATATATAAAATGCTAGCAGCGGACAAACACCCTAACCTGCTAAACGAATGTGTAATAGATCAAACATATAACATATACACCATTATTATTACATAAATACACTATAACCACACATGGCAAGCCCGACAAACATTGAAAACCCTAATGGAAGACAATGAAAATATGAGCATAGCGTGAGGCACCCATCCTCCATCTTGAGAAGCACATGGCAAGTCGACACTGGGACGGGCACAAAGTTACAACAAGTGTTTGCTAATCCCTATTAGTGATATGGAAATCATTAGATAAACTGATATGGCAATGTCCCCATAGACATACCTATGCGAATACATCGAAAGAATGGAATTTGACTGTATCTATATTTACTACTTTTTATTTTTGGGTCACATACAAGATGCCTGATATGACTGGTGTCTGCATAATCACCCAATGTGGGCTGTCAACATACTTGAAAACATTGGATGCAATATTTTATGAGATATCACCTTTAAACTGCGGTCAAAGTGTTGTGGTGATCTTGAAGATAAGGTCAAGGTCACCCAAATCAACTGGTGTCTGCGTAATCCCCCAATGCATGCTGTCACTAAATTTGAAGACATTGGGTACAACAGTCCATGAGATGTCGCGTTAAGAAGAGTTTGAAAAGTGTTCAAAAGTGTCGTGGTGACCTTTAAAATAAGGTCAAGGTCACCCAAATAAATTGGTGTCTGTGTAATCCCCCAATGTAGGCTGTCACCAAATATGAAGACATTGGGTAAAACAGTTCATGAGATATCGTGTTAACAAGAGTTTGAAAAGTGGTCAAAGTGTCGTGGTGACCTTGAAAATAAGGTCAAGGTCGACTGGTGTCTGCATAATCTCCCAATGTATGCTGTCACTAAATTTGAAGACATTGGGTACAACAGTCCATGAGATGTTGCGCTAAGAAGAGTTTGAAAAGTGTTCAAAGTGTCATGGTGACCTTGAAAATAAGGTCAAGGTCACCCATATAAACTGGTGTCTCGCGTAATCCCCTAATGTAGGCTGTCACCAAATTTGAAGATATTGGATACTTCAGTGCATGAGATATCACGTTAACAACAGTTTGAAAAGAGGTCAAAGTGACCTTGAAAATAATGACGGACGCCACTGAATACATAGTCCCCCGTTCCGCGTTGAGGCAAGGGACAACAAAAGATAAACGAAAATATTCAGAAACAATCTCTTAATCGCCCATGCAGGGAAGAAAGAGAACCATACATACAGTAGCTGTTTCCGAACCACTCATCGTGAAGGGAATTCAAACTCAACTCTCTTGAGAAGGGAGACACGTCTGGTTGATCAAATAACAGCATGGAAAGTGAGGTACGATGTTATAGTCTAGAGTGACCTGCTCTTGGCTGTAGGGGTCCGTGGGGCCCTGCAGGGGTGGTCTCACGAGACAAAAACGTAGTTTTTTGTTTTGTAAATAGTTTATTCAAATATTGTTACAACTGTCATAGGAATTTTAAATGGACATTTAAATCCTGATAAATACCCCAAGGAGGAATATATGAAAGAGAATGAATGACTTGGACATGTGCATAGACTGATTGTAGTTATGGCTATCGCAACATCAGACTGTTACACAGATTGTGAGTGAGTGAAATACTGTTTTGTACATGCTGAGCAATATTTCCAAATATATCATTCCTAAAGTGACACAGATCACAGAGAAAGCCAGCATGTACAAAATCAGATACAATGTAGCTCTACACACAAAGTAAACCAAGTCCATATTGTAAATGAGAAGTGTGATGCAAGAGATCATTAAGTAAGAACAGTGATTCAGTCAACTTTACGCATTGCTTGCTTGTTCACACATCTTATCAATAAACAAAGATCAACATAAACAAAGATATAGGGACATCTTATATCTTGATGGATCATGTCAGAACAACATCTTACATTAATGTTTGATGCCTACCAGATCAGACATATTCCAGCAATAAAGTTGCAAATGTGTTTTCTATTAATGTTACCTGAAGAAAGTCAACACACGCCCGTTACCGCAGTATTCTGAATGACAAAAGGGTTGTATAATCTCTTGCTTCAATTGGTGGTGGGGTAACCTAGTGGTTAAAGCGTTGGCTCATCACAATCAAGACCCGGTTCGATTTCCCACATGGGTACAATATGTGAAGCCCATTTCTGAATATTGCTAAGAGTGGCGTAAAACCATACTCACTCACTCTTGCTTCAATGGATAAACATTTAATATGTAGGCGACTTTCAACTGCCCGTGAGAAGCAATGCCTTACAAAGTGAATAAAAGGTTGCTCTGTAATGACCTGTAATGGGATGTCCTGCATCCTCATAAAAAAGGAAAGGATATTTTCTCATTATGCCAACTTACGCGGCTCCACTACAGGGGGTGAAGCTGGGGGGTCTTCAATGGACTTCTGTTGCTTCAGAGTAGTTTTGACAGCTGGCTTCCGCAGGGCTAAGGATTCCTCATCTGACAGATCCAGGCCAGCTAGTGGGTCATCCTCATCAAACTCTGCAAAACCAATACATTAATATGTAACATGGGGTTGACCAACATATGTCTACAATATGTATGTGACTTAATTAATCAAGTAAGGAACCATAAACTTGCGACAGCGAGATGTCGCGAAACTCTGGAGTATTGCTATGGGGTTTCCAGAAGCAGATCAACAGATCACAAGCACACGGATCCTACTGACAAGACAACTGCTGTGGGGACAACAAATATTGATAGATACAGTATTGTCTTAGAAGGATAACTTTTATCGCAATCAAAAACAAGTGAGTTTGACGATCACACTCACCTCCAAAATCTATCTTTGGTTTAGCTTTAGGCACTGTACGGGGACGGTCATCTTCAGGTCGGGCTTGTCCAGGCTTTAAGTTTTCACTTTCTTTATACAATTCTGACAAATAGGAAAGACAGACATTATCACAACCATTACAAAACATTACTTCTGACAGACAGGTCTAATAGATAATAGATCTTATATCAATGATCTTTGCTAACGAATACATTAATGAATCATACCCATGGATTCTAAACACACAATGATATGATTCAGTCGTTGGACTAATTGATGCAGGCTAAAAAGATACCCAAACAACTACTGATGCAATTGTACATCAAGCATGCATGGATTTCTAGGATATCCAAGAAAACACAGGTCTCTTCTTTCTTTGCTTGCTGCCCACAAAAAACACAGAAAGTTGTACACAAAAAGACAAAGTTTAAAAGTGGAATGAACTATGACTCTCACGGTAGCAAAATGCATTGTAATTAAAATAGTGATGCCCATGAATATGTAAACAAGATAGTCACTGTCCTTTTCTACCATCTCAGGAACCAATGCCAAGATTTTATCAAGCAATTATTGTTTGAAAATCAGACTGGTTTAAAGCTGTTGTGACCAGTAAACAAACTTAGGCAAACTGCAGTCAACACACACCGGTCATCTTCCCAGGGGCTGTGCCAGGTTTGGGCATGGACATCTGTGGAGGAGGAGAGCTGGGTTTAGAAGTATTCTTTTTCATCTTGCCACCCCGAGGACTTGTCGGGGTATCACTAGTAGGGGAGGCAACTCTCTGCGGGGACCCTGGTTTGTTACCCCCTGACCGAGGGGTGTTGCTGTTGGAGCGTGGTGTGCGAGTTCTACGGGGTGTCGTCTGTTTACCAGATCGTCCACTTCCACTTTTGATGCTTCCTTTTTTTTTTGGCAGCTGCTCTCCGAACAGATCAGCATCCATGTCATCCAAGCCCTGAAAATACATCAGCTTGATATTAATATTCTCACAATTGCTTACTTTCTGGTGGATGGCACGTAAACTTGCAGACAAAGGCTGGTCAGGCGACTGGTAAACCACACATATTTCTGAGAAGTTAGTTTAATGAGTATATCACACACATTCAGTTTTGAGCAGGGTCCACTCAATCTCATTAACATCAGACCTACTCTGATAAAATACCACCAGGCATGAAGATATGAAGACACCATCAAAAGAATGGTAGGTCGCTTCAGGTGAACCTTCCGAGAACTTTGACCTTCTGACTTTAATGAAGGATGCATGCATTCTTGATCCAATCAAAAATGTCAGCTTTCTAAAACAATTTGCCTTCATTTCGGACTATCTCAATTTGGAATTTTCATATTTTTACATACAAAAACTGACACAGAACAATTATTTCTTTCATGGCACTGCTTTCTGAAAGTACCAGTATGTGACAAGGTGCTCACAAACAAGAGTTGTACAAAATATCAACTAAATAATGACATGGATGTATTTATCTACATTCAGAAATAGCTGTTTAAGATTGTTTTCAAGATACAGTAATCAGATATGCTGGTCTGAATGCAACACTAGTAGTCATATTTAGCTGACTGAATCTTATTGAAAGTTTTACCTGGCATGACCTCCTACAGAGTTGTCCCTTGATCTTCATGCAGAGAGGTACTGGAGTAAAAGATCTGATTCTTATGAGATGACTGACAATTTTCATTTCTTCCCTGCCTTCCAACTTACCCCCAAGTCTCTGGCCATCTGCTTAGCATCAACATCAGACACTTCAGAATCTGCATCCTCTCCTGCCTGAGATGCCAGATTACTGTAGAAATCGTCATCCAGAGCACTGCAAGCAATCACCATGGTCAAGTGATTACACTTCAAAGGCATTCATGCTTATGAATTTCACCATAGTGGTGACCTGCACCGACCTGTGAAGATCTGGTTAGAATTGGTCTTCAGCAACCCACACTTGCTGCAAGAGGCGACAAACAGGATCGGGTAGTCAGGCTCACTGACTTGGTTGACACATGTCATTGTATTCCAATTGCGTAGATCAACAATGACACGTTTTGCTGATCACATTGATACAATGTGTTATGATGTCCTATTCCTTGCACCCATGAAGATCTGGGTTAGAATTGGTCTTCAGCAACCCATGCTTGTCGTAAGAGGCGACTAAGGGTGGTCAGGCTTGCTGCCTTGGTTTACACGTCATCGTATGCCAATTGGGTAGATCAATGCTCATGCTGTTGATCACTTGATTGTCTGGTCCAGATTATTTACAGACTACTGTCATATATCTGCAATATTGCTGAGTGTGGCATTGAACAAGAAACAATCAGTGTGACCTGCACCACTTCAGACTTTCCTCTTTCCTCCCAAATCAGACTGACTTGCTGTGATATAACCTGAATACTGTCCAAAGCAGTGAAACCTTTGTAGCTAATACTATTATGTAACTTTTTATGTTTACATACAATTTTCTCCATCCATGATATAAATGATGTAAGTGTGCATATCAAAGTGAGATTTTATATACTGTTAACAATTCAAGAGACTGTTAAAAAACTTGCATCACTAATCATAAGTTAAAAAACTTGCATCACTAATCATAAGTTAGGACAACAAGAAATGGTATTTTTATTCAGAACTATACAAGTTAATTATATACATTCAATACTACAGCCATGATAATAAGCATCTTTCTCACCTTTTCCCACCTCTCTTTAAAGGAGCCTGAAATGAGATCCCAAATGTTATTAGCCTTCATTGCCATCATTGTGTTCATGGACCACTATGAATATGGGATTACCTACAATTCATAGTATCTGACAGTGCAGTCAACCATTCAAATGAGGCAATCATACCTGATGAAGGTTCTGGATGGGTAAAAAGGCAGTTACTTTGGGCATATCATTAACATAAAAAGGTGTCAAATCTTCATAAAAAGGAGATGGTTCAAAGTCATCCTTACTCTTAAGCATGTTTATGCATCTGTATACATTCAGATTTGTTCTGACCCATTATTTTGCCAATTATCTGACATGCAAGCAGATGGATTATTTCATATTATGACTTTGTATGCTAATACCTGCAAAGTAGAGAAAATTGAAAAATTCCTCATCTGATTGCTGACATAGCCATATGCACATCTCACATAATAGCTAAGCCCATGAAAGTGGTCACACATTTTAGGAAGAGCTTATTTCAAACCAAGACACTGATATCTTGCAAGGAAAACATTCTTGCAAATCAAGAAATTGTTATGCTTTGTTAATGATGTGAGAATTGAGATATAACATACAACAACTAATGTGGCATTTCTTACATAATACCTCAAATACATGTGGAAATAATGCAATCACATGCTTTTGGATGAAGACTGAGTGATACCAGGCACCGAAACTGACTCTAGTTAAGATACTGTAATATGTTTGCAACTGTAAGCACTTCTAAGCTTGTTCCATACCTTCTGAACTGGTTTCTTCTTCTGCACAGGAGGCCCTGAACAGACAATGAAAGAAAAACTCACCACATGTAATCGAACTACATCACATAATAACAAACAAAATAAAGAAATATGACAAATGCACAAAATGTGGTATACATATACATATTAATCCAAGATTGATTTAGGAGATAAACATCATGTGTTGGCCAATTTCCGGGTGTTATTGAGTATTTGAAGTACGGGGAAATTTCATTTGAAACATCCAGGCTAACGTCGTCGGTTCCAAATGAATTCCTGTGCTTCAAATATTCAATAATATCTGGATGTTTATCGACATTGTAAACACAATAGTAAACCATAGGTTTTACTGTCTGCACTCATTGACATTGAGTACGGTTACAGCAGTGAAGTGTCATCAGCTGGCCGTTTCAGCTGGTTCCCCTGGTAGCATCTGGAACTGCTCATTTGTGACATCATTGTGACTTTACGTCACAATATGATTTGAATGACGTCACCACTGCTGACGACGCAACAATACAATTGTGTGCGATATTGTACATGTCAATACGCAGTGAATAGTCTTGCAATTTCCAGGAATCTTATACCATTCGATCATGTTTTACAACCAATCAAGTTAAAGAACATGGTGACTTTTGGTTTACAAAATGGAAGGAGAGGTGTCAGTGGTATTTCTAATCATGGTCATGATGGTAATTAGCAGAAATCAGTTTTGACTACATGCTCCCTTTAAATCTTCACTTCTTAACAAAAGGCACAGTAATCAACATAATAGTTATGACAAAAAGCCATGCACAGTTTTGTAAGAAAATGATATTTGAAAATCTGAATTCTTACCTTCAGCAAGGAGATCATCCAGATCAAAGTCCATCTTTCAACTGTCACCTGAAAATGCATCAAAGTCAGAGAAATGGCTCACAGTCACAGGCATGAAGGACAAGAATAAGGGCCTTCTGATATTGAAAACAGAATGTGGTTGTGGTGTGTATTTCGTATCTTCATCAGATCTTTCAGCAAAGCATCATAGAATCATGCATTTTATAGATATGCAGTAATAACAAGTTGACAAACCAGGACACTTTAAACTAACCAGCTGTTAAACTACTTTTAAGTGTTAATCATTAAATAAAAGGGTAAAAAATAGGACAGACATGTCTATCATACTGACATAAATTCATATGGATAGATGTTTCGCTTGCTACTTGCCTATTTCAGTTTTATTAAGTGTCGTTTTATTTATCAATTCAATATTGCAGTATTTATAGATAGTACATTAAGTTATTCAAGTGCTCATCACATTTAATATACAGATGGTAATCATAAGGAGTTATGGTCCTGAACATAAGATGTGAATGGTCCATCTTGACATCTGACAACATGTCAGAACTGATGCTGGTTTCAACAAGTAGCCTGTATAGATCAACATAACAAACTTAGATATGTTCTCTAACTAGCCAATTATTATACTGTATCAAACGGTACAAACAAATAATACAAATTTACCATGCAACGGTACTCGGTCGAAAAATATTTTTCAACATGAAAATTGAACGAAGGTGATGTCTATATTCTGGTGACTACGGACGCGACGAGCTGCCGCCATGTTTTGAAATGTCACGTGACTCTCATGAAATCTCGTTATACCGGAAGAGATCATAATAGTGTCGCTAAGCAACAGCGTGGTTTGGCAAAGTTGAGAAGAAAAAGGCTGTGGACGTGATCTGAGAAAATGACTGGAGAAAACGACGAACCGATTAAGATGGAAGCTCCACATATATATGTAGAGAGAACCTTGGCAATTATCAAGCCAGATTCAACACATAAAGCAGAAGAAATAGAGGATATTATTCTCCGATCAGGATTTGCCATTCTTCAGGTAACGTTTTCTTTTTCTAATTCTTAGGCTTATCTTTACCGGTATTATGAGTCGTTGTCAAGTCTTTTTATAAATGGTGTAGTTTTCTTACGTGATTGGTTGCTAAACGTTTACTTAAGTTGCTATGACTATAGAGTGTTGTATAAAGAATTCAATGAGTTTTTGTCACTTAATTACCCCGAAATACTTCACTTCTTCATGACAACAGTACTGTGCATCAGCACAGTACAATGTTTAGAACAAATATTCATGAAGAATTGCCTTCATTTTTAATCTCTAGTTATGTAGTTTTCATTGCCAATAAAATCAACACACAGATAGTCTGAGTGCAGAAATTCATTGTTTAGTGTCTAAAACATGCTGTATCTATTTCTCTGAAACAATGTGTGTTATTGTTCAAATGTAATGTCATAACCTGTTTTGGTGCCATTATTGTGTATGCTGCACCATCATCTCTTCGGCCTAAAATTTGCTCAGCAACTACGCCCCCATTCAAAACAGCAGCAACATACTCAGTTGTCATTAGCTTACAGGGAATTTGATTTCAGTTGTATAGAATGGGTTTGATGTCTTTTAGCGGCATTTAGAGGTTGTATATAGATGTCCAAGATATTTTATGGATTAAACTTCTTTAATGTTCAGAGTTCACCTGAGGAAGGGATCAGTAATTGTCCCGAAACGTTGTGAGGGAAATAAAAAAGAAATTTAATCCATAAAATATCTTGGACATAGAATGGGTGTGTTGTGTGGGCATATATAAATGTACAATTGTTTATCAGTTGTGACCTTTTATTCATTACACATTAATATATATTGTGTACTGTGTATTTTCTTCAGAAAAGAAGAGTCCACCTCACTCCAGAACAAGCCAGTGACTTCTATGCAGAACACTATGGGAAACTGTTCTTCCCAAGTCTCGTGGCATACATGAGCAGTGGCCCGATCATTGCACTGGTCCTGGCGAGAGACCGAGCCATCTCCTACTGGAGGGAACTTGTTGGCCCAACTAACACACTGAAAGCCAGACAGACACATCCAGATTGGTATGTACCAATAATACAATAATTATCCTTGAGCAATAGACATGTCATTCATTGATTGTTGATTGTTGTTTAACACCACAGAGGGAATTATCATATATGTTGTCTTCATTATATCTTTTGCTGTTTAGGTGCATTTAAAGTGTTCAATTAGGTTAGACCGCCTCCGTGGTGTAGTGGTTAGAGCATCCGCCCGGAGAGCGGAAGGTCGCGGGTTGGATCCCGACCGCGTCATACCAAAAAACGTTAAAATATACACGCATGCACGTCATCATATGAGCGAAATATTCTCAAGCACGATGTTAAACCCAATTTCACCTCACCTCACCTCAATTAGGTTAGTGGGAGATCAGTAGTTTTCTGCTTCTTTGTCTGTTATTTTCATGTCTGAAGATTTCATTAAGGGATTGGTAATTTATAGTGGGGAAGTGTGAGAGAAGGTGAGATTAAAGGAGGGAGGAAGGTCATGATGAAAAAAAAACAGTGGGGAGGGGACTCCAAAATTTATCACCTGTACTAGGGGTGGGTAATGAAATTTGGCAGGGCAGTGAAAGACATTTTGCAGGTATTGTGGTAGGGAACATGAAAATATGTTACATACTACATGATATAGTGAGAAGTGGGGTGTGGGGGCCATTAAAGTATAGTACAGCCCTGAGGCCAATTTCAAGACAACCCCCACCAACCTCCAATACATGACCAAGTGTTGTGTTCTTGAAAAAAGTGATTATTGGTCCTGATTTCAGATTTGCACTGATTATGATTTTGTTGTTTCCCAAATTATGAAACCGACACACCTCAATGTATAGTAGTGAAACTACCCTTGACAGTGGCTTAGAGCCAAAGTCCTGACTCACAAAGTTTCATCATTGTCAATAACTGTGATCACTTGTCCTTTCGAACATCTGTTCTAACCATGTATATATATCTGTTTCAGTTTGAGGGCGATCTATGGCACAGATGATCAGAGGAACGCACTTCACGGAAGTGACAGTTTCTCCAGTGCACAGAGAGAAATCCGATTTTTCTTTCCCGACAGTATGTATATTTTTTCTCATCAAGAACATTGAAAGAAATAGTGTACGAAACTATGGACAAGGAATTCATTCTAAAAGTAAAACAGGTTTTTATACAACATGTTCAAAATTCAGCAACCAAAGATTATGATAAAAACAAAAGTATCTAAATGAAGAATTACAACCTTTCATTACAATCTAAATTATGCCAGTCTGTGACAAACACATCAGTGTCTACTTGACTGACTGACTGAGTTTGGTTTTACGCCGCTTTTAGCAATATTCCAGCAACATCACGGCGGGGGACACCAAAAATGGGCTTCACACATTGTACCCATGTGGGGATTCGAACCCGGGTCTTCGGCGTGACGAGCCAACGCTTTAACCATTAGGCTACCCCAGTGTCTACTTGACCAAGCAGCAGTGTCATTTACATAACAATTTAGACTTACCTGCTCATGGATTCCTCAGATAGCTCACTGCACCAAAATAAATATTACTTGCCTCAAACTTCAGACTAGTGCCTGAAGTAGAACCTGACTATAGACTTCAAATGCTTTCCAACTGCAATCAGTTACAAGGTTGGCCTATGGTGCCTGGAGAACATAGGTCTGGAACATCCTGTTTCTGTTGTTAACATATAACCATGTTGTGTTCCAGGTGTGGTGGAACCAGTTGCCATTGGCCAAGCAGCCAAAGACTATTTGTCTAAGGCTGTGAACCCAACCCTCCTCAAGGGGTTGACAAATCTCTGCAAGCAAAAGCCCAAGGACCCTGTGGTAAGTTGTTGCAGGTTGAAGTGTATTGTTGAAGACTTGGTAAAAATTCACCCATTACAAAACTTTTTTTTAAATTGTTATTTTCACGTTTTTATTTCCCAGTACATGTTTACATGACATTACAATTATGAATAGATATTCACATATACAAGACATACATAAATAGGTAGTATTTTCAGGCTTGGCATAGGGCTTTAGTCAGTGTTACATTGACCATTCTTTCTTTGCAGATATTGCATATAGATAAGTGGGCATAACTACATAATACATAAGTAGGCATCGGTACATAATGTTGTTTCGTATTGTATATGAATTAGAACTTGTGTATGTTTGACTACCTCTGGTAACATGCAAGGTATAAGTCATTTAACATTACCCATTATTTCTCAACAGATGTTTACCTATACATAAGTATACAAAGTACAGTGTATGAAAACATCTACTGCATGTTTGACTGTTTCTAATCACCTGCAAGGCAAATCGTTGAAATATTAAAGTGTACACTTTAAGGTTTACAATTAAATTACAATTTACACCCATTAAAAAACTTCATCTAGTGTTGTGTTGACCACTCAGGGTCTCACATTAAAATAATCTTTTTAGCAATTTCAAGAACTCTTTTTGGAGGAATGGAATCATATCTTTAAATTTGACCTTAGTTCTTGTTACCATTAAACAAATATCTGAAGACATCCTATTATGGGTCACTTAGAATGCCCTTTGATCTGACCAATTAGAACACTGCTCACCACATCGGGGAAAGTGACAATTAGAATATGTTTTCTAATCATGCAACCTTAAAGTGATTAAATGAGGTATTCTGAAACAACAGCTACAGGCTGCACGACTGATTCCTCAAAATCGTCATCTCTGGCTTCAATAACAAACATTTTGATACTGGTTTTCCCATAACAAATGGAAGCTCTGCCATACAATTATGGCCATCTATTAGACATTGTAGATTGTTAGCTAATGTCGTGAGTTATTTCATTGGTCTCTGAAGGTATGTGATGGCTGGAGTGACCTTTATAGGGATGTCCTCCTGTCATGATTTTGTAACAGAATTTGATGTAATTGTTTAAAGCAGTGAAAAACTACTTCGATACGTGATTCTAGAACCATTTGTTCTTTGTGTAACAATAAACAGTGAGTGAACGTCCATGGCTTTGTGTAGCTGGTTCCTTCAATACAAAGTATAGCTGGTGAAATTAACACAACATCTGAACAGCAGTTAATGCATTTTGTAACTGCTGTATTAAAACTATGAAATAGTGTTCCTTCATTTCCAGATCTGGCTTGCTGACTGGTTGTTGGAGAACAACCCAAACAAGCCCAAGGTCAGACAGCCATTTGTGGAGGAGCCTCAGTGATGGTGGATATCAACAACCACATCTATACACTCCTTGTAAATATGCCCCTTGTATGTGAAAAATGTACAGAATGTTATTGTCAAATATAAACAAATAAACAAAAAAACACTTGCCTTGCTTTGACTTGTGATGCAGAGATGTGAAGCACTGACTTCAGGATGGGTGAGTGAGTGAATTGGGTTTAATGCTGCTTTGAAAAGCAGTTTTCTCCTGTTGGCTGGTTGGTTTGTTGTTTAATGCCACACTCAGCAATATTCCAGCTATATGGCAGCTGTCTGTAAATAATCGAGTCTAGATGAGACAATCCAGTGATGAACAGCATGAGCATCGATCTACACAAATAGGATCGATGATATGTGTCAACAATGTCAGCAAGCCTGATCACCAGATCCGATTAGTCGCCTTTTACGACAAGGATGGGTTGCTGAAGACCAATTCTAACACAGATCTTTGTGGGTCAGTTTTCTAATATGTCGGCTTAATGTGTGAGGAAAGCCCTTAGTGCTGCAGGTCTAAGACATAAATATTGCAACAGCTGAGACATTCCAGTTCAAGCAAAGATATGAAAGAAATTTCTCATTTCAAAATAAATTTATTCACATGCATGTATACATTTCAAACAAATGTACAACCAATATATTCATTCCATTTACACATATACAAACATGGCACAGTGTTGAATATTTCAAGTGTAGATATGAAAAGATGGTGCTTTTAGCACAACAGACATTGTAATGACCTCCATATCACAACGAGGCGTAGAATGAAACAGTTGACAAATTTATAAATGGGATAAACTCCCCAAAAGAATTATTACAGCTAAGAGAATGTCTTAACGTTAATAATTTTACCAAACTTTAAAACAGATATAGCACCGTGGATTTAGATCAAAGGGTCTCGTCTCACAAAGCAATTTTAGCACAATGACCTTAAAATCTCAATACTCTTATGAGAGTCGAATTACATTAAGGATTCAAAGTGATGATATGTCCCAAAGTGCTGTTTCTGGTTGCAAAGGCTGACAGAATGGATCAGGAAACTTAGCTAAATGTGAATCATCATACCTCATGGAATGAGATGATGCTCATGATATCAGACACTGGTCAGCCTGATCCTGTCTTGATTATTTACTGGCAACATCATATAGCTGGAACATTGCTGAATGTGGCTTTTAAAAGCAAATCTGTTAAGACTGCTTTGTTAAACAACTTCTTGGTCATATTTGTGTAATAACTGAATATTCAACATGCTGAATGTCATGGATTCTAGTAACAAAGCTTTGATATGATATAAGTTGTTTGACCTTTCCTGGAATATTTTAATATTAAAACATGATACTGTCAAGACAAAGCATGGTTAGTGACATGTACATGATTCGTAGATTTTTCTAGATAACATAAGAATGAGACGGAGAAAAACAACCTCATACCTTCATCTAAACACTGACTTGTGTAACATAGAGATCTGAAAAGCACTACTAATCTAAACAGATTACATTTCAAACAGTAACACAAGTCAAAACCTAACAAGGAACTGATCCTCATCGTCCAGGTAGAACATCCTGAAAATAATTTTGATTATGGCTTCCAGTAATTACACATGGTTGTTGACCACTATGTGTAATTCAATGTGTGGACCTGACAAAAATGCAGCTATCACAATAAATCTGAACCATTCAAATTCACGTGTCAGATCTTGGGTGTACTGTATGTACAACTTTACAAGGACTATATACAATTTCATCGACAACATCACAAGCGGTGGATGTCTAATTTAAAACAATGATGTCATTTATAATAATTCCATTTAAATAACTTCCACAAAAAATGCATTTGGAAAAGGCATCATCATATCAATGATGGGTCTGAGAAGATAAAGTAATTTATCAAGATAATGTAAGCGTGCAAATTGACAGTTATGGTCACAAAGGTTTTCCTCGTGTTAGTTTTCAGACACTTAAGAATATGCTTTGTTTTCTGGATTATCACATGAACAATTATAAAACATGTTGCATATTTATCAGATTTAATTCTTGACAACCAGCCTCGTTATAGCCAGAGTTTTTGTTGTTTGAAAATGTAGGATGTCCGAAAACATATATTTGATGATAATTGTATTTACCATATTTGACATATATCTTGATAGTGGAAGTCCAACATCAGCAGAGTGCTGACATTGGACCAATGTGCCAAGGTTCTGCTAGAGCAATAAGTTAGTGAGTGAATATGGTTTTACCCCCTTTTAGCAATATTCCAGCAATATCACAACGGGGAACACAGGAAATGGGTTTCACACACTGTACCCATGTGGGAAATCAAACCCGGATTTCGGTGTGATGAGGGAACACTTTAACCACAAGGCTACCACACCGCCTCTTATGTCAATACAGTGACTGCCTCTTAAAAAATAACATCATCAGAGTTTAATGTTAACAGGGTTTCACTTCTATCATTCACAAGAAATAGACCAGGTCTCCATAGACTTTCTACATAAACACTTTGTTATTCATAACTTACTTCAGACCCGTGAAGATCTGGGGTAGAATAGGTCTTCAGCATCCCATGCTTGTCACAAAAGGCGACTATGCTTGTCATAAGAGGCGACTAACGGGATCGGATGCTCAGGCTTGCTGACTTGGTTGACACATGTCATTGGTTCCCAATTGCGCAGATAGATGCTCATGCTGTTGATCACTGGATTGTCTGGTCCAGACTCGATTATTTACAGACTGCCGCCACATAGCTGGAATATTGCTGAGTGCAGCGTAAAACTAAACTCACTCACTTACTCATAACTTACTTCACCTTGGGCGTGTTGAAGTGCTACAGGTTTATCTAGAACATCTTTGGTATTGTGTTTCTGGAATAGGTCTCAAGATCAACATGCTGTGATATTATGAGTTATCACTATATTTGCACCATTTTTCAAGTTCCATGTGGCCTGATGAAAAAGAGGTCATTTCTATCAGTATCTGTTTATCTGTCTTGCTGAAGGATTAGTTCTCATATTTATCCAACCAGAGTTAGCATGTTGTTTGTTAACTGTCTGTATGGTAATGCAAGCCTAAGTAGATCTAAGGCTGATTTGCTGGTGAAAGTTCTAAAAATCTATACATAATTAAAAACTTACATAAATGGGAAAATCTATGGATATAACCTTCTGTAATGAGGAATATGACATGAACTCATTACATTGGTAAATACATTTATAGGCACGTTTCTTATATTGAGGTGTAAATCTGCATTTCACTAACACATTGATGAATCATTACACCACTTATGGCTGCTCTCAGCTATTTTAGGTTTTCTTCTGAACCAACAGTAGAATATTTATATATTTTCATCTGAAAACATGTCAAGATGACTTAATTAGAATCACTACAAAATATTCAGAACATTACTCGGAACAGAGCAATACAATCCAGTTCTATGATCTAGAAGACACATAGTTCATGACAAAACACCTCACAGTTCAACTACAAACAATGTCGCTACCAGGATGACTACCAGCCACCAATAAATAAACCACTGTCTCTATACAGTCACTATAACACCACACTGGACACACGTCTGGGACCAGAAACTACCATTAAAGCTTGTTGCTTGGACACGACAAAATCCTACACACAGTCAATCTTATCTATATGGTCATACCAACAAATTTTCGTGCCATGTGAATTTCTTGGTCAGTATGCTTATGGGCAAGAGATAATATAAAAGATCGTTCATCAGCAGTGATTTTCTGAAAGACAGATATCCTTAGGACATTTAATTGACTTTATAATTGTTTTATAGGATATCTTTACACGTGGTTACAAAAATGTGAACAAAATATCATTAGGGCATTTTGTAAAACAATCAGCCAGTGTCATGGCAAATGCCCTGTTATCAGACTTTATCTCTACAATTAGACTCAACACATGTATAATTTTTTTAAACAAATATAGAAACAAAATTCATATTTTCAATTCAATTCTTTCTTTTTTTTTTTGATACTTTCTTTGGGGTTAAGTGAGGGTACCATTAGCCTGGAAATTACAACCTAAACAAGAACATAATCTGGTATGTCTTCCTAATCTATCGTTTTAGGGGCACGATGACAACATTTTTCACAGTCCTACACTTAAAACATCACACAATTCTTGACAGAACACAAAACACACGGCTCTGTTTTAGTTGAGATATATACAATAATACTAACACACAAATATTCCCATGAATAATGGCAGCGGCCTCTGAGAGATATACTGAATATGACAGGGCTATAAACCATTTGCTATACAATAATCATTTTGTAAGTGTTATCCATAAAGTTTGGTGATCAAAATGAAAATCAGAATAAACTTCCAAAAAGCTTTTGTTTGTCATATAACCTTTCTACATTTAATTCCATATTCATGAAATTTGGGTGTGGGATCAATAAATCACCCAACATTAAAACACCCCAAAGCAAAGAATCACTTTAGTATTTAAAACAATCATTTAGTTAAGAATTTTTTATGAGATTTCTTTCGCTGGTTTAAGATCAAACCTTACAACAAACACACAGTGCAGTGTTGACAAGCTCTTGTACAGTAAAACACTTCTACCTTTTGTGCATGTGCATATTGTCAGCTTTCAAGCTTACCTCAACATGTGCAAATATTGTACATATTCCCTCCAGTGAAGTTCCCATGTGATATATCTTCATAACATTTATAGAGGGTTCCCACACAACGACAGCATTGTTTGAATATATTATTCAGCCCTGTATACACTGCCATATAGTTTCTTGTGACCTACATCACTCCAATGATTTACCATGCACTCAGTGTCACACAATCAAGTTTATACAGTAGCTAAAAGAAAGCGAATTTTGTAAAGGTGACAAAATTAGCCAGTGTCTGAATAAAAGTGTCTTTAACTATGAGGAAACTGTTATTATCACAGAACATGTGAATCTCAACAGACTATGTTTAAGAGAAATGGTATGAGATGAGTTGGTAAGTGTTTAACACTGTTTATTACAGTATTTTAGTTATCATGGTTATAGCATGGCTTGAGAACCTGGGAGGAAATGATGCAGGTTGTAGATAGTTACTGCTTTGGTGAAACCAATCAGTGAGTAAGATGCCGTACCTCGAAACATAACTTGGTAAATCTAGGATATGAAGCATTCTGTTAATGGCACGTAACAAGGATCTATCTACAAATTCTTGCTTGTCTGGACCCTTTTATTTCAGAAATCTTACAATCTGGTTGATAGATGTTTCAAACATTTACATGTATATACAATAAAACTGACAGTAGTTCAACTTGTTAATCTGGAAACTACTATCTGGATTAATAGGGTTTCAGTGTATAGATCAGTACTGTCAACTACATTGTTGCTTTGTCTGTTAAAGGTGTACATTAAATATCCCTCCTTTGATTTCCTTCTGGAACCCCTATTGCACATTTCCGAAGATACCATGTTACTGACTGACACACTGGCAACCAGCTTATACTTATAGCAGGGCTCGATTTAAGAGATGTTAACCTACTTGCACCAGGTGCAACCTAAGATAAAAACCTAGTTGCACCAGCCCAATTCCAGCTGCACTGCTTTTATGGCAATATGTAATGAAAGAAATATGCTATTGAATTATTTAGATGTTATATTTAGAAGCTTACCCACTCAAAAACTGACTTGCACCTGGTGCAAGTTAGACTAATAACTAGGTTGCACTATGTAATATTGGATTGCACAAGTAAAGCACTAAATCGAGCCCTGTATAGTAAGGATGGTCAGTGTTCAAACAGATGACTGCTTCATCTGATAAATAGCCACAAGGTAAAATAGCTCACCTTAATTATTGGGCATGTTAGCACAAAACTGAAAATAGGTTTAAAAATAAGCCCTCATAGATAGTTGAACGTAAGTTCTCTCGTTAAAAGGAAAATTGAATGGAGCATCAGGAAATGTAATTTCTACCCATTACAGGATGGGTAGGAATGAAATTAGCATTTGCTGACTCACAAGTAAAGTCAGTGGAATCTTTAGCAAGTTGTCTTTAAAATTCAGTTTTTACCTGGGGATTGATCTAACCATTATACCATGTCAGTTCCCTACGAAATCAAATTTTCTGAATAGAACTTCAGACCAGAAAATGCTGCAATTTTCTTCCAGAAATCTGTTTGCACTTAAATGAAAAGTGCTGAGCATGCAAATAACCTGAAATCTTCTCTCTTACAAACAATTATGTACTTCAAACCTCATTAATTCACAGCATCATTAACAGAATTGATACATCTTCGAAAGTAATAAATATTGTTGGACTGTACAGATCACAAAGAAGTTCAGAAGAATGCAAAAGACTTACGCTGACGATAGACATACAGATAAATAGACAGATATTGAATGAAACTTGAAGAAAGTAGGCTGTCCCACCGTTCATGTAACCAGTGGGAAACTGTGCACTTGTTAATCAGCTTGCCTGAAGGAATGTAGAAGGATGAGAGTAGCGACAGCATCATGAGTGTCTCCCAGACAGTGAAATATATAGCAACACTTATCACAATAACCAACAACAGTCCGATGCCTATCAGCAGAACCCGATTCTGTATGATCCTGTAAAAATAACAGATGTTTTTAAAATATTTGTTCTGTTCCTTGTGTAAAAGTACATGACAAAAATCAAAACATATTTTCGCTTGTTTCGAAACATTTGATAGCTGTATGTCTGGTACATTGTTGGAATTGTTAAAAATGGCCATTTCTATAGTCTACTATTTCCTATATCAGCAGGTTTCTATACATCTGAAGCCTGATATCTGGAGATGTTGGTCCTTACATTTTTCCTCAAAGAAGCTCAATCTAATCAGACTTTGAAAATAGAACTTGTTAGTTCTTAGATGATAGGTGATGATGTTTATGCAAGAGCAAAACTGTTAATTACTGTGTAATTATCAACCTAAAAACAGAAACAAAGTGCTCCCATGTATAATATTTTCACAGCTTTAGATAAATTTGGATTAGCAAAATTGAATAAAATATTCAAAGACAAACTTTTAGTCGAGGCACCATAATAGTGTTGATAAAAATGGATGTATATTCTCCTACACTATTATATGTGTAGAACAACACTTGTAGTTGTTGGTTTTCTTCTTAATGAAAGTATTAAGGGGAGATAATAGAAGACACAAATTACCTCCCCTTGTGCATGCTGGGATACCTATGACATACGATGGTGTGGTGTACAGTTACAAATAAACTTACCTTCGCATCATTCCAGACAGTACACGGGAACTTTTCCCCAGTGTTGTGTTCATCTCCTCAAGCTGCGAGACAACACACAAAATTATTTTCCACTATTTCTTCACAATTACTTCATAACTTCCTTGTCATGGGTGTTTTGAAAGTATTTCCAATTAGGCTTATGGTTTGTTAAAATGGCCAATAGTTGAATCAGACAAAGTAAAATCATATACATAAAAGGAAACGTCCATTTCACTTTATTCATCTGTCATTTGAACTATTTACAAAAAACACTAACACAGAATTACTGCTATCAAAATAATGAGTCAACTATCAATTCATACCCTATTTCGTGATTTTTGTATTGTCTGCCTCTGGCTATGCAAGTCCTCCATTATTTGTGTCCCAATTTGCTCTGAAACAGAAATTATGACACTTTCTCATTAAATCATATGTCTTTCATTCATCTGCTCACATGAATTTCAATTTGAACAATGTTGATGCTTATCAAAGATATCTGATGATGTCATGTTTCTGCCATGTGTTCATGTTAAAGGTCACTTTGCCCTTATACATGTTATGGAAAGAGAGAGCTACTGATGCTACTCAGGGCTTTGAGTCATTTACTACTGAGATGCAGTCATTCTGGCAGTGTTACTACTGAGATGCAGTCATTCTGGCAGTGTTACTACTGAGATGCAGTCATTCTGGCAGTGTTACTACTGAGATGCAGTCATTCTGGCAGTGTCATTCTGGCAGTGTTACTACTGAGATGCAGTCATTCTGGCAGTGTTACTACTGAGATGCAGTCATTCTGGCAGTGTTACTACTGGCAGTATTACTACTGAGATGCAGTCATTCTGGCAGTGCAGTTACTACTGAGATGCTACTGAGTGTTACTACTGAGATGCAGTCATTCTCATTACTACTGAGATGCAGTCATTCTGGCAGTATTACTACTGAGATGCAGTCATTCTGGCAGTGTTACTACTGAGAGAGTTGGCATGCTACTGAGATGCAGTCGATGGCATACTTGTCCATTCTGATGACAACAGGCATCCTTGATGACATTCATTAAGGGAGACGTGATAAAAGTTGGATGAATTTGGGAGCCTCAATAACATGACTAATAAATCCCTCAATTTGTGACACATCAATGTATGTGTTATCATGACATCTGTCTGCATGTACCCACAATTTTCCCTATGTTGGTATAGTGTTCCATCTCTGACCAGACCCATTTAGTTCTGGCTTCAAATATGACAAAACAGTTGTTAATGTTTTGTCTTTGTGTCAACCAAGTCAGCCAGGCTGACCACCCAATTCCATTAGTATGTTCTTACAACAAAGCATGGGTTATGCAATAACGAAAATCTGAAAATTGATTAACCAATTTTTATCGATGATTGTTCGCTGGTAATGAAGCAATCATTGAGATTTCAACCAATTCCCTAACAATCCCTGGGCTTAATAGTTGCTAAGGTTTGTTTTAGGAAAATGACCCCTCTCATTAACAAATAAATAAACCATAATTAAGCCCAGGGCTTGAATTCGGGAAATGCTCGTAACTGAGGAAAATGATTCTAAGACACAGTAAAACAGAATGAATTTTCATATGAACTGAATTAGTGAATAATACAGAACACCTGAACCATAAACAATTATTCAAGAACGCAAAGTTATAAACTTCTGACACTTTCAGTTATTAAAAATGTCCATTTAAGTGCGCTTCGCTGAGTTGAACCGGTTTCACACTCAAGTTCAAGTTCCTTGTCAAACGGATCCTTATCGGCTGCATCGTCGGTGTCATCATCTCCTCAGTTGGCTTCAGTTTCCTCCAGACCAGACAGAAAGCCAAGTAAATTGCGTAATCTTCCATTGAGAACTTATACTGGGACCTTGCAACCTTGCTCTGCAATTCCGCACAATTCAAATGACCTTTTTACGGTTGCTTCCTGGATTGATGAAAACCGCAGTTGATATCATTTGAAGGGTTTTCTCATAGGAAGGCCTCTTTCTGTTTCCCATTGGAGTATATTCCCGCTCTCCATTGACAAGCCAGTCTTGCCACAGTTCTGAGCTTAGCTTTAAATGGCCCGTTGACTCCACCAGACACGTTGAGTGGTTGCAAATATGGTGGCGGGATGATTTTGGTCACAACATTTAGTGACTTCAAAGCTTTGATGACTGATTTTATGTTGTGGCTTTTATGACTGTCCATCAAAACAGAGATGGAGTGGTTGCAAAGAATTTGACCCTGGACTTGAAGACACTGTCAATCCAATTTAGTATCAACTGTTCGCTCATCGAGCCACGAACAAACAGATGTTACTCGGAACAGTGCACTTTGGGATATTCGCAAGTCCTTTTAAGATGACCATTGCTTTCAGGACACGTCCATCCATACAGATACACAATACGACCATAAATCTATTTTTCTCATCTCCTGTATGGATAGCATCAACATTCTTGTTACCGGAGAAGTCGAGGGTGTTGGTCCCAATCATGTCCACGTAGCACGGTGTTTCGTCCATGTTGAAGATAACAAGTTTGGACATTCCCAGTGTTAACTGTTTAGTACTTCGCAAGTGATCTTGTGCAATTTGTCACACAACAAGTAGGTCAATTTCACAACATCATTATTGCGGGAAAATATCCCGTTTTTAAGCCCATAGGCGTATTTCGAGTCGGCTTAAATACGGGAAATCACAGTACCCAAGACCAAATTTAACCTGGATCCTCATGGGTAAGTTGCCAGTGTCAGAGTGGGTGAGTACTGGATCCTCATGGGTAAGTTGCCAGTGTCAGAATGAGTGAGTACTGGATCCTCATGGGTAAGTTGCCAGTGTCAGAGTGGGTGAGTACTGGATCCTCATGGGTAAGTTGCCAGTGTCAGAGTGGGTGAGTACTGGATCCTCATGGGTAAGTTGCCAGTGTCAGAGTGGGTGAGTACTGGATCCTCATGGGTAAGTTGCCAGTGTCAGAGTGGGTGAGTACTGGATCCTCATGGGTAAGTTGCCAGTGTCAGAGTGGGTGAGTACTGGATCCTCATGGGTAAGTTGCCAGTGTCAGAGTGGGTGAGTACTGGATCCTCATGGGTAAGTTGCCAGTGTCAGAGTGGGTGAGTACTGGATCCTCATGGATAAGTTGCCAGTGTCAGAGTGGGTGAGTACTGGATCCTCATGGGTAAGTTGCCAGTGTCAGAGTGGGTGAGTACCACGGATCCTCATGGATAAGTTGCCAGTGTCAGAGTGGGTGAGTGAAGTAGGGTTTCAGGACCAAGAAGATGAACACATGACTGACCTGTTTCCACAGCTGCTCTGTATCCGTGGTCCAATCTCCTCGATGTCCTATCCAGTCTCTCTGTGTTGTCCAACAGTCTTGCTCTCTGGAAATACACAATAGGCATGATAAGATAAGGCATTAATGTTCTCATAGCCTATGTGCAAATTTGGGTGTACACTGCTCATCACACAAATATGTTCCTTGTGTTTGTTATAGAAATTAGAAAATGAATAGTTAATGAGTTAATGAATAGTTAATCCAGTTTGCCTTTAATATTACCACTTTGTATTGTAGATATACAGTATTCATTCAAACAAAGATGTTTTTGCCTATTGTTAAGCTGATCAACACCAAACATGTGTATTTGATTGCCATTGGTACTCATGTTGATCTGACTCATGATCATGATGAGTGAGTGAGTTAATATTTAACGTCACATCAGCATTATCTCAGCCATATCGTGATGAATGATCATGATGATATGCAAGGAGTCTTGAAAAGAATATTTGACAATTTAAACAGAGAGTGAGTTGAGTTTAATATTGCTTTGGACAATACTCTGGTAATATCACAGAATGTTACCTTCATGAGGGAGGAAACCCTGAAGTGATGAAAGGTCACAGCCATTTACCACTTTGGTGAATCAAGAATGGTGCTGACAAACCCAACCATCAAGGTGAACCAGGATTTGAACCCAATTCAATACGTTTCTGGTATGTGAGTGAGTTTTACATCACACTCAGCAATATTCCAGCTATATGGCATCGGTCTGTATATGATCGAGTCTGAACCAGGCAATTCAGTGATCAACAGCATGAGTATCGATCTACACAATTGGTTTCTGGTATGCCCAACCCATGGATAAACTGTCTAATTGTTGTCTGCTGTCCAGGCTTTAAAGGGGGGCTGTACAGATGACTGTGGGAAAGCAGACTACACACCACTCTGAGTTAATTACCTGGTCCTCTGAGTCATGGGTGTCGTCACCTAGCAACTCATCTCGATTGGCATCAATGCCAAGTTTAGCCTTTTTCTGGAACAAAATGATAAATTTGCTTTATTCTCAAGAACAATTGCCAGTTAACATTCTTTTTTATAGATCAATAGATCTATATATCATAATCACAGAACCGTTATCCTGTTTAAACATAACAATTACATTACTTTACAGTCATATAGAATATATATTCGTTGGCAAATCATTGATGGGATAATTTTTAGTGACCACCTGGAATTCCATAAAACTGTATTCCTATCACAATCTGGTATGTGTGAGTCTTATAACTTACATTATCATATTAAGCATAGGGGAACTGGTTATGGCCATAAATGTAAAAGAAGGGTACATCAGGAAAAAACTTCACACACTGTACCAGAATGGCAGATTGAAGCTTAGTCTTCAGCATGGTAAGTAAATGGTGAGTCGCTACTCAGCTGCCACATCATTGCTTTGATGTAAGTGAGTGAGTTTAGTTTACGCTGCACTCAGAAATATATCAGCTATATGGCAGCAGTCTGTAAATAATCCAATCTGGACCAGACAATCCAGTGATCAACAGCATGAGCATCGATCTATGCAATTGAGATACGATGTCATGCGTCAACCAAGTAGCAAGCATGACCACCTGATCCTGTTAGTCGCCTCTTAGTCTTACAACAAGCATGGATTACTGAAGATCATTTCTAACCCGAATCTTCATGGATCTGCTTTGATGAAAGGTGAATTGGTGTTTATATCAAAATCATTGCACCCATCATGCTTTTGTTGCTATGTATGCTTGTGTAAGTCTGAGGAAAGGAACCTCGTTAGTTACTACTCAAAAACATCCAAAACATTTTCCCCAGTGATCTTGTTTATACCATATCTTTTTGCAGCTTTAACAGTTCCGTCTTATAGCTCTTGACACGTGTGGAGTATTTCTGTCTCTCTCGAGGATCTTGCTCCTTCACTTCCAATTCCATTTGTTCCAACTGCAAATGTAATTAAAGCAAGCATATATTTTTTCCATTAACAACAATCAGCCATTTAGTCAGACAAACAAGAGTGGAGGGGTGTCCTTAACAATTAGTTGTCACAGTCTTTTATATTTCCACACAATACCTGTATAAAACATGTTGCCACTGATCAATAATTTGCAAGACAATGCTCATGGAATCTTACCAGTTCCGAAGCTTCATCAAAGAGCTTTCTGCTTGTCGACATGTGACTGTTTTTCCGCTACAAAGGGAAATATAGTACAGTGCATAAAAGATGAGGACAATCAAAATGAAAGGCAAATGTTTCTCTTGAGAAAATTGTTTCACTTCATTATTTTGTTTTGATCTATGAAAGGTGTAAAGGAATGGATGTTGAACTACCATTACCAGATTATTGAACAACAGACATTTTAGGGATAAACACACTTTAAAGTATAATCAAGCTACCTAAACTGTGTAAATAAGTATGTTTTAACACGTTAAATGACAGCCAAAATAGAAAATACTCGACCTTAGGTAGTGTACAGATATGTTACAGTTTTACTTGGAAGTTATTACTTTTAATATATGCGATATTTGTTTACAAATTTTTATTTTTCAGATGACAGTTTCAATGTAAGATTCTTAATTTTTATATTTCCGAGGTAACTACGAATAAATTATATCTCTTCACATCACAGATTAGCATCCAGTTCTGACAGTAAATATCCACGGGAAAACCGGCCTCAAAAAGGAAATCAAAATCAAACGTCATTTGCTCAGATCGGAGTAACAGGCTTTGTTTGCAGAACAGTGAATACATATTTGTGTCGCAAAACCCCATTTAGAAAAATACCTCCATGGTGACAGGCTATCTGACCGACATGGAATGTAATGTCGGCTGTCACCGTAGAATATTGTTGTTCGTAAGACTCCAACAAGCTGGTGGCCATGTTTGTCAATGAGGCAGTAATGTGCTTCTTCCCACACAACTAAATATACATGTTCTTGGCGATAAGTAATAATTTCCTAATGATAATAGAATACAATACATTTTAGATACCAATGTAACAAAATCAGTTTCTTTGCTTAAGTAGTCACATTACTACATGCAATTATCATCAATAACACTACATCAATATTATTTGCTATATTGTATGGACATTTGTTGTGCATGGTAGTATAAATTAATTCTACTTCCTGTCTGTCTCTCTCTTTCCGGTTCCACAAAAACCAAGGTAGATGTCTAATCGACATGCAACTTAAAATCTATCTCCATCTCTATCAATTCATCACATTAAACCGAGTTTATGCATCTTATGTATATTTCCCTAGTCAGACACACGAAGAAAGTTGTTATTGTAATGAAATATGTAGTTTGTAGTCAGATATTGACTCCTGAAGCATCGACAATATCAAGTTTCCACATGAAAACATGTACATGGCGATGTAAACATTTACACTCAAGTCGAGCTGTGCTATGCTGACAATTTAGTTATGAAACGATTGTGTACATGGTGGCAACTATATGTTCAAAACGGGTATATTCGTTGGGCATAATTAAGTTGGGTTTTTTTAGTACTGCATCAATCGAAGTAAATATCAGTAGTTAAAGATGAATGGTCTCATACGCTGACAGGCGTGTGAAATATGAAGTTACTTTCGATATGTTTCATTTTGGGAAGCTGCATTAGTGCAGTTGATTTACCATATCATCAAGTTATTATGAGAAGATTTATCTAAAAACAGGACAAAATCTACTAATACAGCTGAAGGTGTCGACACGGGTACTACAGTGTACCAAAGCCAAAATCAGAAGACAGTTCTAAACATACCTGGGGTACAAAACTGTAGTACCTGTGCCAACAACGACCCCTTTAGTTCTAATATGTATGCAATATAATCTGTTATCAAGTATGAAAAGAAAAGAATTCCTTCTCTGTTTGACCTTATACAGATACATGTACCCATTGTAGTGATTCAAGACCATAGAGACGTGATCAAATTTTCGTTGATCATGATTTTGTCTGTTATCTATGTTGGGTTATCTGGATTATCTATATATCTTTTTTTGACAGATGGCTTAGAGATTAACATTCAGACGCCGCCGTCTTTCATTACAACACAAACTCCAACCGCAGAAAAGTGTGAGTTTCTCTTTGTCACTTCATAGTTTTGATGCTCATGATAGCTGTGTATTTTTATTACATCATACTACATGTTGTACATGCACTCGAGGGCAGCATATCTACAAAAATATCCATGTGCAGTTGGAGTATCTACAGTCCGTTTGAGACAAAATGATACCGATGAATTGCAATCAAACACAAAAACAAATAGACATAAAATAAATCAAACCAACGCGAAGTGCAATAAAAACAACAGACCAACTCTAGAAAACAATTGCATAATTTGTGTCATAAAAATAAAAAAGTTGTTTAAGAAACTGGCATCATTTATTTGTGTGTTTTCCAAGTTTGTTAAAAGGGCGCATTGGCAACTAAAGGAACAGCGTCATTTGTGACGTCGGAGACATGTGATTACTGCTAATTGACAAAGTGAGAGAAAATGAAAGTCTATAATTTACAAAGTCTATGATTTCTTCAAGGATGAAAATGACGGGGTGACCCATGTATGCAATTACTAAGTACATACAGCGCCCTGCCTGTGCAGCTGGGGTACGTGTCATCTCGCCAGCTCAAAAATTTGTTGAGAACCCGTTAACGCACGTGCATGTCGCTTTTTTCGCTGTTCCTTTAGTTGCCAATGCGCCCTTGTAACAAACTGGGAAAACGCACAAATAAATGATCAGTGCTCCAGATAAGATTTAGCTAATGTGGGTACTGTACCCACTGTATTTTTTTGGAGTGGGTATTATGAATGTTGAGTGAGTATTTCATTTTCCGTTACCCACTGCTTTCAAATATGTGCATATTTCAGTCATTTTCCCCCCCTAAGTATTGGGTCATTGAGTAAGTGTACTAAGCAGGTATGTTTTGCCTTATGTGATACCTACTCAAAACCAACTTAAATATAAGGGAAATGATGTCATAAAAAATCAGTCATCCTATACTGACAGTACAACACTTGTCCTATACTAACAGTACAAATTGATAGCAATCGATGTCTTTTTCATTACGAAAGCGATTTTTATAAGTATATTCCGTACGCATTTGTTTTAAACTCTTTGCGTATCTAACAGTTTAAATGCGTAATTGGTACGCAACAATTATTTTTCAATGCGTAATTGGAAATTTTCTATGCGTATTTTACCCGGATACGCAGCTTATCTGGGCCTCTGAATGATGACAGTTTCTTAAACAACTTTTTTTATTTTTGTGACACAAATTATGCAATTGTTTTCTAGAGTTGGTCTGTTGTTTTTATTGCACTCCACGTTGGTTTGATTCTTTATGTCTATTTGTTTTTGTGTTAGATTGCAATTCATCGGTATCATTTTGTCTCAAACGGACTGTAGTCCGTAGTTACAATGATGAAGAGTGAAACAAAACACCAAGTCTGCATGTCACACCTTCGACATAATATGATACACATTACATGTGGGCCTGTACCTTGATACATGAGACAAAATATATATAGTTTTACTTGATCAGTGTGTTTAACAATAGAATAACCCCATCTTGCACTTTGAGATTATGCTGTTTCTAACCTTGAGGTATGTGAAAGTACAAAAAAAAAGAGGCTTTGTCAGTTGCCAAATCAGTGACCACTGAGGTTGCTCTCTTGAAGGCTTTATCAAAACTTTAAGACCGTATTCTGAGGACTGGTGGAATATCTAGCATTAGCTTTTGATCAGTCTATACGTAATATAACCATGATCAATATTCAGCTTGTCTCAGGTTGACATGCAGTCTAACATATTTATATTTTTAAAGACTGGACAAGATGACTATAGTCCGTTTGGCTCAAAAGCGGACCGATGAATTGCAATCTAACTAGAAAAGTAATAAACAAAAAATACTCAATAAAACCTGGCTGTCCCTTTCTCTGCACTCCTCCCTCGTAACAAATAGGGAACTGTGTCATAATTTTAATGATAGTTTGTTAAACAACTTTTTTAATTTTAGGACATAAATTCTGCAAAAGAATCACTGAGTTGGTCTGATGTTTTGATTATGATCAGCGTTTCATTGAGTATTATATGTTTATTAGTTTTCGAGTTAGATTGCAATTCATCGGTCCGCTTTTGATCCAAACGGACTATAAATTAAATTGTATTTCAATAGCGCTCAGAATCTGTAGCTTGTCTTGTTTTAAGATGATAAATCATTCAAAGGATAACATTTCTGGAATATTTTTTGACTGCTAAATATAACACTTATACAGGTTACATGTATGATTCAAGTGTTATGATCATATAAGATCTTTTCAAGTCTAATATATATAAATTGGTTCATTTTGTCTTACTATAATTTATTACTGTGTTCCTGGCATCCATTTCTGTGGTCTAACAGTTGTTTGGTTTCTTTTCATTTCCTGCCACATACCGTGAATGAACAGCTCTAAGACTCCAGGTAATTATGAATCATTAAAGTCTTTAATATGCTATTTTGTTTACTGATCAAAATAGTTTCATTAAATAAGTTAAACATTAGATGCATTGTTTAAACTGTTGAAATCCATATAGTCACTGGTTGGGATGTGATTTAATTATAATGAAAACATGTTCTTTTATCACTGACAGACAGTAGAAAGTAAGCATATTTAGGGGTTGGGATCTTAATGAGCTTTGGTTGGGTAATCAGGAAAGACTTTAACACATTATTTCAGGATGTTCACAAAACGGGTATACTAACAGCAGCATATTTCATCTATTTTCAGGTGGTAAGCTTGTATATTTGTACCAGAAGAAACTTGGCACCCGTGCTAAATGTGGTGATTGCAAGCAGAAGCTTCAGGGTGTAAGTATTTGTTACTGTTAGAGAGGCCTCATAAAGCCTTCTTAATCTGAAGTCACTTATCACATGATAAGGAATGTTGGCTGAATCAAATGTATGGTGTTTACCATTTGTGGATAGAATCATCACATACACATTAATTTCATGAATGTCTAATTAAGTTACTATAATGTAGCATTATTTCAAGATGCCACAGTGCTCTCTCTATTCATTTGTCGGTACAAGTTTGCAGAGTTTGTCAACCTTTGTCAGATTAGTTTGTTTCAGTAGTCTGTTTACTGATTGTGATAATGTTTTAGGTGACTGCTGCCCGCCCCCTCCAACTGTCGGCCATGTCCAAAAGACTGAAGACCGTTACAAGGACATATGGAGGATCTAGGTGCCACAGATGTGTCAGGGAGAGGTAATAAATACTCATTATCTATTTATGAATTTAGTTATTTCAGTTTCTGTGAACTTACCACATTGCAGTATTTCGGCTGTTTGATGAACTACATTCTGTCAGTGATAAAGTCTAGACCAGACAATCCAGTGATTAATATCATGAGCCTCAATCTTCAAAATTTGGAAATGACAACATTGGTGGCAGTAAAATAAAATGCATGCTTTCGTATCTGTCAACCTGTTTAATGTTTATATTAGTGATAAGTTTTGTGAAGCTGTACTGAAAAACTTTGAAAGTGCAAAATACATGCAGCGTTCGAAATTAACATCGGTCCTTAGGCCCGAATCCGACTGAAAACCACTTGTACCCACAGCTTCTGTTTTCTGCAGGTCCTTATGGCCTTGTTTGCTGGGCATTACTTATATTGTAGCTAAAATATAGGGCCTACACATTCTGATCAGGACCCACAACATTATATGGTTCTGGGTCCTTGGGGCCAGCAACTTTTCAAGATTAAGGGCAAACACTGAATACATGTGTAATTCTAAATCAGAAAAGCTCTGGGGTTTTTTTTGTTGCTCAAGTTAGCTTCAAACATGTCAGATACAAGTCAAATGCATTGGTTGACATTTTGTGTTTATCTCATGCCTTAGTAATTAGATTTATACTTAGTGGCTATTTAATATATTTTACAAGAAAATCAAAATGTTTGTGTAGACATGAAATAGAAAGTAATGTCTTTCCATGGCTCCAACTTCAAAGTGAACTTTATTTTACAGAATAGTAAGAGCTTTCCTCATTGAAGAACAGAAGATTGTTGTCCGAGTTCTCAAAGCACAGGAAGCTGCCAAGAAATAGATTGTACCTCCCTGAAAATAAATGTAAAAAAATCCTTGTTGGATTGTTGTTTTTTGACAAGATGTGCTGTCACATTTGGATCAGCCTATAGGTTGCAGTGGCTGGTTGGGTGGTTAAGGGAATGTGAGGAGCTGAGAATGATGAGGTTATGGGTTGTAGTAGGTGGTTGGAGGAAATGTGACATCTTGACATTCAGATAAGAGAATATGTTGCAATGGTAAAGGGAATGTGGCATCCAGATAAGCCTACATGATACAGGAAATGTAATACTGTTATTTGACATAATTGTAATCTTAAGGTTTGCATAGAACACTGCTGTTTTGGAGAGAAATGTTAATGTGCCTTCTAAATTAGCCTGTAGGGTCTTAGTATTTCCCTCATTGATTTTTGGTTTGAAATGTGAGATTCAACGTGATTATGACCCTTTGGTGACTCTATACCAAGTTCACGAAAGATTTTGTGGTAAACATCCATACATTGCTTTGCTTTGGGATTCCCTTGTGAAGCTGCAATGTCATTGTATAATGAAAGTTATGTTCAGCAGTGCTGCATGTTCGTAATGGGTGAACGTATTTAAACAAGAAGATATGGTAATCAATATCCTCGCCAGTGTTCAGTTCCTATTTGGATCCCGAGTTGACCTCCACCACAACATTCATGTCCTGAAAACCCATACCACCTTTGATTTCTCTATCTATAACAGTTGCTGAGAAAATCTATTCCCATTGGGTGTAACGTGCATTATGTCAAGAAACGCATGACAAGGGCCATAACTCTGTAAAGAATCGTGACGCGGTTTCCGTTTTCGAACTCCAAGGCATTTGTGTCCTGAAGATACATACCACCTTTGGTTTCCCTATCCAGAACAGTTTCTGAGAAAATCTGTTCCCATTGGGGATACCGTGCACTAAGTCCAGAAACGCACGACAAAGGCCATAACTGTGTAACAAATTGTAACACGATTTTCCGTTTTCGAAGTCCATGAAGGCATTCACGCCCTGAAAACGCATATGAAATTTGCTTCCCTAAATCTGTCTCCATCATCTCGGACGGACGGAGCTCGAACCAATATCCCTCTCCCACTTAGTTGCGAGTGATAATAACCAGTGTCAACGACTAACTAACGCGTTCGGTTTTAAATTACATTTAGCAGCGTTCAACCAACTTTTATCACTTCAAAAATGTGAACACACTAGGATTATCTCCATTCTACCATGACATGCACCATGAATAAAACACGTTTTAAATATGCACTGATTACCCTTGCCTAGTGTTTTGACACTACGCGCAGTGAACCGGATCTCAGAAGTGGTTATTGAAAAATTTTCACTTCTTTTTTTTAGTAACACCCAATCAAAAACGAACATACTTAAATGTCACAACTTAAAGCATTGCTGTTGTAGAGGAAAGTATTACACACGAACTATAATCACTGCAAGACCAATACATGTTATCAACATGCGATAACAACATAGGCAGTCGCCCTGTGGGGATTTAGAAAAAACGTCTGGCAAAACTCCTGAAACGTGAGTGGTTGCCAATCATCAAGCGCTTTTTACTATTGTCCCTGACAAGGTCGGTCCTTGCTCACTATATCAGCCACTGGTATTTCTGGCACAGACGGGGCGGTGGGGTAGCCTAATGGTTAAAGCGTTGGCTCGTCACGCCGAAGACCCGGGTTCGAATCCCCACATAGGCACAATGTGTTAAGCCCATTTCTGGTGTCCCCCGCCGTGATGTTGCTGGAATATTGCTAAAAGCGGCGTAAAACCAAACTCGGTCAGTCAGTCAGTCTGGCACAGACTCAGGAATTGTCTGAAGAATTGTTTGCCAACTTTCGCACATTCATTTATATCATGTGGCGTGTTGCTTAACACCGCTCTCGGCAATATGGCAGCGGTCTGTAAATACTCGAGTCTGGAGCAGACAATCCGGTGATCAACATCATGAGCATCGATCTACACAACTGGGATACAATGACGTGCCAAACAAGTCAGCAAGCCAGTCCAATCGATCCCTTTAGTCACCTCTTGCCACAAGCATGGGTTGATGAAAGATCAATTCTAACCCGGATCTTCACGGGCGTCAACGTTGCAGGCATTTGTCCAATATTTGTTATTCGCGATGAGCGTAAAAAAGTCCCTGTACCCAGGAACAAGTAACTTATTGTTCTCAACCTAAAACCAATATCACCGAAACTATGCAACAATGTATTTCTGACTCAAGGTGAGGTGAGGTGAAATTGGGTTTATCGTTTATCAATGTATAGACGGAATGAATCAAACTACCGCTATGCTGCCTTTGTTTGAGAAGTATCAGTCATTCACAACGCATATGCAGCCACTACAACCTAGAAACATTCACAGAAAATATGCTTCTTTCCAAATAGAGAGGGGAGGTGGGTCAGCCTGGTGGTTAAAGCGTTCGCTCGTCACCTCGTACACCTCATGGTAGTCTGTCTCACAGTCCCTGAACCACATTAATTTCCCCACTGCCAAGCCATCTCTGCAGTGCTAAAGCCCTAAACAAAGCAAGTCTAGACTTCCTCAGGTTCAGGAATCTCTGGTCTCCCTAGGGCTCCTTTTCAATATAAATGGGCTTGTTTGTTACTATCAAAATTATATATATATTCAGAGACTAAGCCTTAGTCTAACCTCATGGGTACAGTGTGTAAAGCACATGGGCTTCACGCTTTGTACCCATGTGGGGAATCGAACCCGGGTCTTCGGCGTGACGAGTAAACGCTTTAACCACTAAGCTACCCCCAATAAACAAGAACATAATGGGAAAACATGAAAACAAAAACAACAAGCCAGCAACATTTTCACAAGTTCGAGAATGGAAATTCATTATTTTTTAAGAATGTCTCTTTTCTTTATTTTATTTTTTTAATTGTTTTTTTGAAACATGTTTTTATTAAGAATGTCCATGTGTACTATTCCACCAGAGATTGACCTTATGTAGGTTATAAACACAAAAGTCTTAGGTATAACTTTGGATGGCGACAATGTTGACAAAGCAGTGATACATCATGTCTCTGATGAAAGATGAAATGAACAAACCAGTTTACCGTAATATATATATATATATATATATATATATATATATATATATATATATCTATCTATCTATCTATCTATCTATCTATCTATCTATCTATCTATCTCTATCTCTATCTCTATATCTATATCTATATCTATATATAGATATAGATATAGATATAGATATAGATATATAGATAGATAGATAGATAGATAGATATATATATATATATATATATATATATATATATATATATATATATATATATATAGGGCAAATCCGACCTTTGGGCGACAGTACAATAAGCTGCGACCTTTGGGCGACATTGCCATATATTACAAACGTACATTGATTTTTTATATTTCTTCGGTTATATACACTTTAATTTGATAATTAAACATTAAAAGGGGATAAAACCTTGTACATATATACAAATAGAGAATATATTTTTGATGTCGCCCATACCGTGTCGCCCAAAGGTAAAGTGTACGGCGTACATGTTTATATGCGACCTTTAGGCGACTGTCGCCCAAAGGTCGTATATATATGTCGCCCAATGGTCGCTTATGTAATATACATATATATATGTCGCCCAATGGTTGCTGTTTAATACTATATACGTGTATACATTTCCATGGCTGCTTATTTGATATATATGTCGCCCTTTAGTTGTTTATGTCTTGCGCGCCGAGGAAATTATAGTTCATATCTGTGTGCATGAAACTGACTTTCTTGTTTCCGATCTTTAACATCGCACGTACAATCAATTCATAGTTTTGTGCTTAATTTTCTCAAATATGATGCAGTCAAACAAATCAGGCTAGTTAGAATTAATACTGAGATTATGATTACTTGTAATATTTCTAAAAATATTATGCTGTAACAGACATTTATCATTTGGCATAACTTGCAATTACTGTTTCCCACTCAAGCGCCGATGTGCCCTTGCTTCATATTAATTAGTGTCCGTTGTTTACCATTCGAGGTTTGATAAGGATTAAGTTTTAAGGATATGTTAAGATTAACCAACAACTAAATATCAAATATGCCCATACTCAATCACTGAAAACCTCTATAGGAAATAGAGGGGTGGGGTGGGGTGGGGGTGGTAAGAAAACGACATCGTATCGATTCCCGTGAACGAAGACGATTTTGTCAGTAAAGACGTCAAATTTTCAATTAAAAATTATTAGAAAATTTTATTTATCTTTTTAGTTCTAATTTGGTTTTGCTAGGCATTGTATTATGTGTAGGGATTAGGATTAGCGTGTGCATTTGCCTCGTATACACCGTCGGAAATGGCAATCAGCTGTGTACACTTTTCCCCGTGATCTACCGGTGATTTAGTTAAAATTTATCCTATATTACCTCCCGATGAATTCTAATGGAGTGATCGAAAATAATCTAGTATCTGAAATTATTTTTGTGTTTCCATAAGAAATATATTGTTTCGTTTTAATTGCAGGCTTTGCTCTATAAATGTAAAATATCTATAATCATAACTGAGGTTATGCGAGAGCACGCACTATGGTGTTTTGCTGGATAGGATTTATGCAAGGAACAATTTGACCTGTCACCGATGAGGTTTCGCGCGATCTCGCTTATTCCACCGTGAAAACACTTCGTTGACATGTAATAGTCCAACTGCAAGAAATATTACTTTTAGCGAAAACAAATATGTATACAATGTACGTATCCATTTCCTGCCAAATACACTTCAATTTGAGGCGTGAGTAGATGTAAAATGATAGTGATTGTTGCGACTAATGCGGACCGAAGTTAAAACATCGGGGAGACACAGCTGCAGGATATAACTGCAGTTGATATAAACATTCTTTTTTTACCTTTTGAGTAAAATTAATAAACTGGATTGCAAAGTCCAGATATGAAAAACGTCTTTTTAACGAGATAAAGTAACAACATCATTAACTTTCGTCATCAAATATGGATTTGTTGAAACTAATTCTAATGACTGATCACAATGAAGAAATG